AATATAAATTGACATGTTTGTGTACGATAGCGCAATAAATAAATATTGTATTGTACCACATACATGATAGTACTTTTATACTGATAATTAAAGCAAAATTATTCCCTAAACATTCCAAATATCAAAAATGCACAACGTTAATATTCAAGTTTTCACTTCTACCGGCACTCCAGGAGTGTTTTTTTTTTTAATATCCTATCGTCATCACCAGTCTATTACTGTCCCCACTGCAGGCGCACGGGCCTTCTCTATAGATGGAATAGGGAGACTGGGCCGTCACCCACCACGCGGGCCCAGTCCGGATTGGTGGGTGCTAATGACTACAGATGAAGCATATACCAACTCCAGGGTCATATATTAAAACTCGTTAACCGCCTGACTTCCAAATCATACTAGTGTCCGCCTGATTTCGTGTGAACTGAACGCTGGCGCAAGTGGTCAGCGCGTTCGGCTGCAATCGTTAAAGTTAAGCTACTTTCGCGGTGGTCGGTCATTGGATGGGTGGCCAAAAATTTACTATCTCGAGCTGCTCCGTGCTACAGAAGGCGCATCTTATCGTTGGTCCCGGCTGCATGTGCAGTCGTTAGCACCGGTCAATGCGCACTGGGACCGCGTGGTGGGTCATGGCCCTATCTCCCTGTTCTATCCACAAAGAAGGCCCGTGCCCCAGCAGTGGGTTAGTTAAGAGGCTGATAATGATGAATATTATTTCTTACTTTTAAGTTCCGTTTCCGCATCGAAGTCGAATTATAGTTTTTGTTAAAAAATAATTCTTAAAAATATAGTCTATAAAAACTTTATTACGTTCCAAGAAATTGGTTGTGGATTCTGTAGCTACTTATTCAAAACAATAATAATAAAAGCAGACAAATACTGTACGCACGCATAGTTTTAGCGTAAGAGAGTTCTCAGTGGGGATTTCGCTACAATATTTCAGTTAGACCATAGCAAAATCAATAGCCATGAGTTAGTGTCGCGATGTGACTGTACAAGTGTTGGGTAAAAGTGTTTTGTGAACTCCTAAAGGATTATTATATTTCCTTATATTAATGGTGAGTTATTGAAGTGAAACTTCTATCTTCTTCTATTCTAAAAGGTTTTTTGATAACTTCGTCGCAGTGCGGTGGGGGCCCGGTGGGTCTGGGTTGGTTGATCGTGCAGGTTGGCTGGGGTTTTGTTTTTCCAACTCACACCACCACTCACGGGATGTGTTCTGAGGCTTTATTCAGATTAATTCCAGCTGCTGCATTTCGCCATCGTACATCGCGACAAAAATTTCATCCCCATCATCTTGATGCGTGGCTATCCACAACCGTGCGTTTTTGTCGAATTTTTTTACCACGTACAACAAAACTATGGAATATATTGTCGCCAGCAGTGTTTCCGGACCAATACGACCCAAAAACCTTCAAAAAAAGAGCGTACTCCTTCTTTAAGGCCGGCATCGCATTTGTGATACTCCTGGTGTTGCAAGTGTCCATGGGCGACGGTAATCACTTACCATTAGGTGAGCCGCCTGCTCGTATGCCCCCTATAACATAAAAAAAAAACCCAATTAGCCTAGACCCAAAGTACTGTAAGGCTTGTGTTATGGGATACTAGGATAACGGATAGAATACATACACTGTACTTAAATAAGTGTATTTATATAGAAATAAATATTAAACATCCATGACTGGAGTACAAATGCTCGTATTTATCGCACAAACATGTGCCCCCACCGGGATACTAACTCTCGAGTCGGCGACACCATGAAACCCGGCGTACAAACCACTCGGCCACGGAGGTCGTCATCTTTTCATCTGTGGAAGTCCGGTGCTGTATATCCGTCTATCCGTTTATCAATTGTGCGTAGAAATTATATGTATTTACATTAATGCATTACTGGAGAAACATTGACGGGTTTTCTTGGGCAGGTCGGTAGCCTTAGTACGAGTTTTACAATTACGAAAACTATGATAGTTTTCGTGAGCTCGAACTAGTACTAAGGGTACTGATTTTATTGTTTTCGTTTCAATAGAAATAAACAGTGTTTAAATTCTTTCGTTGAATCATTTGTCTCCTTAAATTTTAAATATATTTGGTTAGTTTTCACCAAAATGGACATAGAAACATAAGTTACAATAGGGTATTTGACAAGTTTTAGAAAACGATCTCACGTTATTGACTAATGTTTATGGAGTCCGTAAAAAGTGGATATTGATCATTCTACTGTGTATTTCAGTAAAAATAACCAAATCAAAAACTCCACTTTCAAGTTGCCGCGAAAAAGGTTTTCTGGACAATATGGCGTCTTACTAGTGTGTGACGTCACACGACTGTCATTAAAACGTCAAACGATACAATGTAATGTCGTCACTTTAACATAGCTATATATATTAGTCAAATCAAAATCTATTAAGAAATTTCAAATGAAGTCACATTCGGTGTCCTTTCAGCTAAAACCATAAATATTCACGATACTGATGTCGATTCGAAAAGGAGACACTGATGTTAAATTTAGTTTTAAGTTCACGCCAGAATCGACACCATTGTCTTCTTCTGTGCCTTTAACTTTTTGTTACTTTTTAATTAACATTTATTTTATTTATTTATTTACTCTTTATTGTCTTTTTACAACAAATAGCGGACTTAATGCCACATGGCATTCTCTACGTGTAACATACTAGTAACATGTTTATTAATAGTATTAATTAAAGTTATACTTTTAATTTTTTAAACATATAACTGCTAGATGTTGATGATGGCGCTGCCTTGCAGCTTAAGAAAGGCTAGAGAGAATTCGACACGGCCGTCATGACCGCGGTAGCATAATGCCATCATGACCCGGATAGCGAAGGGTTCAAGTCCCGTCTGCTGCTTGGTCCGCATGGAATTTATTCTAGCATAATTTTCTTTAGTATAAATTATACTTTTTTAAAAAACATATGACGTAGTATGTCACATTATATTTATACATACTAACTTAATATTACAAAAAAAATTAAGGTACCCAATCAACAATCATCGGTTGTTAAGTGGAAGTACAAAGTTTGATTCCCAGCCAAGAAAGGTTTTTTTTTATTAACAGTTTTAAGTTTCACTGTACTCAAGGTTATTGAATACCAGAATTTTATGATTTAGTTTAGGAGGCCTCTCACATTTTTTGCAAAAAATCGTATATTTTGAGCGCCTCGTATACCCCCTTAGAAAAGATTTTGACTGTTGCCAATAGAAGTAAACAGTACATTTATTTTTCCTTTTGTAAGTTAATGTAGAATATGTGTAAATACTATTTTCCTTTTTTTGTACTGATCGTTCTACTGCAGCTAGTTTACGGAAAAAACAATAATATGCACAACTTCAAACGCCTCAATCTCTCCATAATGTTCCACAGATTAGATCAAATTAATTACTACGGCATCAGAAATATGTTTTTGTTGTAACATAATGTTTTAGAATTTTGATTTTCGTCTCATTATCAAAAAAAAAACATCTAACCTACGTGAGTTCTCCCAAAAAATATTTATATATTTTTAAAAGTAGTTCATTAATAATTATTTTAAAAGACTCGAAACATCACCCGTAAAATGCAATATATAGGTCCTAGTGCAAATCTACCTACACGCCGATCAGTACGGCAGCGGCGCAATTTTGTAAAAGGGCTCTTAAAGGCTTCTCATGGTTATGTCTTTGGAGAATTATTGTTAATTTTTGATGAGAAACTTCTTTTCATACGGGGTGGGGTGTAAAAGGAAAACCCTATAGAAAAGATGAAATGGAAATGCGTCACGATCGTCACACGTATATATACTTCTTATTTATAAGTTTTTCTTCAAGAAATAACAATAATTCTCCAAAGACATAACCACGAGAAGCCTTAAACTAAATAATAAAATTCTATTTATGTATATAAATATATATATGAGTGATGCGTGCGCTGCGTCGGGACGAGCTGGACACGCGTCCCACGCACACGCACACACACACACACACAAACAGACACACACACACATCTATATATATTTATATATGTGGGGGGGGGGGTGCGCAGCTCTTCCCGACGAGCATGAAAGTTGGAACTCGGCGAGCGTCACATGCGACAATACATATATCTTTATATATATAATTCTTCTGTGAGTGTGTATGCCACTGAACTTCTCTTAAACGACTGGACCGATTTTGATGAAATTTTTTGTGTGTGTTCAAGGGGATCTGAGAATGGTTTAGATTCACAATTTTGTCCGCTGGACAACCCCTATTTTTTTAGGGCGGTACGAAGTTCGCTGGGTCAGCTAGTATATATATAAAAATAAAACCAGTTTTTCGTTGTCACGACATAACACGAAATTTTTTTTTTGTAGTTTTCTAATACTCTGTACAAGGTTCTTACGGAAAAAAATATAAAGAAAAATAAAAAAATGAATAGGTACTCATACATAAGATAGGTCAGCTATACAAAATAAAGTAGTGCATCAAAGCTACGCTAAGGCGGTACGAAGTTCGCCGGGTCAGCTAGTATATATATATATATATATTATGAGTGATGCATGCGCTGCTCTATTCCCCTATGCCTTATGCACCGCCTAATGTTAGGTTGTTTAAGCAAAGAAGTTTCACTTCAGATGTGTGCACACCAATATATTATAAAAAAATAGATCTTGTCAACAAACGTCAATGGCTTAGTCGTAGAAAGCTCACTTGCTATGCGGACGGCCCGGATTCGTCATCATTATTATTCATCCATCACTTCTAAAATCATGAAATCAGAGGTCAATATATCTTTATTCAAATTGAATGAATAGTACAAATCTTGAATCGTCCAAAAATGTATTCCCCTACCACTTTTTTTTCGACATTTTTTTTCTCCGCAGCTAAAATATATATCGCGAATAACGTGTGGTAGAATTTTTTTTTACCACACCAATTTTCTTCCTTCACCAGATTTATCAGATGTGTGATCCAATCTCACATGTTTTTATTATTTAAAATAAAGGTATCATTTTATTATTTTTTCATAGAGATGACCAAAGCTCTACATTTGCTGCTCCTACTGGTGGCATTATCAGCAGCGCTCGCATTCCCTACCGATTGTCCGACTGCTGGAGAGCAGTTACTACCACACGACTCTGATTGTAGCCTTTATTACCAATGCGTCCACGGTAGTAAGGTAGTCAGAAACTGCGCGCCTGGAACACACTTTGATTTCAAGTTACAGGTAAATAAAATGGTTTAATAAAAATCTCTAATAAAATAAAAGCGTCTCAGGACGCACGACAGAAGTGATAAAAACAAACCTTTTTTGAGCACAAGAGTTTTTTTTTTGTTTTTTTAAACATACCAATTAACCTAGCCCCAATGTAAGCAGTATAAGGCCGTATACAGAAAGAAAGCTGAAAGCCGACCAGCGCTTGTCGGCGCTTATCAGCGCTGGTCCTTACCGGTAACCGGCGCAAGCATTTCTATGGACCAGCGCCGACAAGTGTAATTTTTTTTTTATGTTATAGGGGGCATACGAGCATACAGCTCACCTGATGGTAAGTGATCACCGCCGCCCATGGACACTTGCAACACCAGGAGTATCACAAATACGATGCCGGCCTTTAAGGAAGGAGTACGCTCTTTTTTTAAAGGTTTTTGGGTCGTATCGGTCCGAAAACACTACTGGCGACAACATATTCCACAGTTTTATCGTACGTGGTAAAAAATTTCGACAAAAACGCACGGTTGTGGATAGCCACGCATCAAGATGATGGGAATGAAATTTTTGTCGCGATGTACGATGGCGAAATGAAGCAGCTCGAATTAATCCGAACAATTCCTCAGAACACTCTCCGTGATAAATGCGATAGAAGATGCAGAGCGAAGCTACATCCCTACGCAAAGCCAAAGGATCAAGCTGATCGGAAAGGTCCTGGTCGTCAACGATTCGAGCCGCTCGGCGCTGGATGCGATCCAAAGGGAGAAGCTGGTACTGGGGTGCCCCCGCCCAAAGATGAGAGCAGTACTCCATGTGAGGCCGAACCTGTGCCTTATAAAGCTGCAGTCGGTGGGCTGGTGTGAATTCTCCTCTCCATTCTCGATCTATTGAGCACACCAAGCTTCTTAGAGACCAATTTGGCCTTGCCCTCTAAATGATCCCGATATTGGACGTCGCTCGATATGTCAACGCCAAGAATTCCAATACTAGCTGAGGCAGTTAGAGGAGTGTTCTCAAAAAGAGGAGATACGACAAATGGTACTTTTTTGCGGTGAACGCGCATACTTGTGTCTTCGTAGGGTTAAATTGGACTAGATTAAGTCGGCCCCAAATATATGTAATATATAATAATTAATATATAATTATTATATAATATATTACTGTGTAACTAATTGGTGTGTTCAACCTCCACCTACATATTACAATAACACTTCTGTGTTTCTGTCGGTGTGTAAGGTCCAACGCTCTACGGAGTTTGGATTAGGGTGGGCAATGGTGTAAGTGATATTTTTGGTATCACAAGCGGTAACAGTCTATGGTGACCGCTGACCATTAGGCGGGCCGTACGCTAATTTGCCACCATATTACATTAAAAAAATGTGAGTTTTTGAAGGGATAACTTCTCAAGGGAGGATAAATCGCTTCGTTTCACTTGTAACGCATCACGGCACCAATCTGTCTGGCTTCCCTTCGCCGCGAAAGGAGATAGACGCCACAGCCCGCCCAGACCAGAGGGGTGTCCCCAGACCCACCCTTCTCGCTCACCCATCAATCCCCACGATCATCTAACGATTCCCTATTATCACCCATCAATTCCCACTGTCACCCACACATTCCCTTATTATCACCCACCACTCCTCTTATCATCCTCATATCGCTTTCACACTCCAATCCCCCTTTCACCTACCAAAATTTGACGACCTCCGTGGCCGAGTGACTTGTACGCCAGATTTCATGGTGTCGCCAATTCGAGGTGGCCCGGGTTCGAATTCCAGTGGCGCAGTAGTTTGTGTGATGAACACGAGCATTTGTACTCCAGTCATGGATTTTTCATCTAAACACTGTCCTTATATATTTATCAGTATACATATGTATTCCATCCGTTACCTAAGTATATTCCATAGCACAAGCCGTGCAGTAAAGTTACAGTACTTATTTTAGGGCTAGGCTAATTGGTGTGTGTTGGAAATATTTATTTATTTATTAGTTACATAAAGATAAAGATATATATATTGCAAATCGAAAAAGACTAATAGGTTATCAATTTTGCAATTGCAGATATGTAACTGGCCATTTTTAGTGAATTGCAAACAAGCCCCGACAATTACCACTACAACGCAATCTAGTGCCACTACCAAAGTAACGCCATCTATTGACGGTGTAGAGAAACTACCGAATGGTTGTCCAGCCGATTTTGGTACACATCTGTTGCTCCCCCATGAGACTGACTGCGCGAAATACTATACGTGCAACAATGGTGATCGGATTTTGATGCGATGCGCGGCTGGTACGCTTTTCAATGTTAATTTACAGGTAACTTTGATTTCTGTTGTTTGTTTAGGCCTCATTGTGTCTCTCTCTGACTTTAAACAATAAACAAAGATGGAGTCTAGCAGTAATCTAGCCTAATCTCCATATTCCATCTATAGGGAAGGCCTCTGCCCCAGAAGTGGGGACTGATGAATAGGCTGATGATGATAGTTTAACACCTAGACTGAGCCATGGGACATTTTTGATCCCGGAAAAATGTACGGTTCCAGAGGACGCCAGTGAAATAAAACAAATGTTGTGTTATGTTTTTATTTATTTTTTAAGCATTTAACTGCTAAAAAAACAAACCTTAATTTGCACTAAGAACTTTAGTGCAGGTGGCCCTAGATATCACCCATAAGCAAATGGGATCTCAGAATCTCATAACGAGTATGTTACTAAAATACCCATTTATTTTTCACAGTTATGTGACTGGCCTGATAGTGTAAATTGTAATCAACAAGCTACGATTCCTACAACTAGTTCACCAGTCACTACAACATATTTACCATTAACAACAACACATTCCCCATTATCAACAACAAATTCACCATTGACAACAACAAGTCCAAGGGGAACTGAACAGCCCACACCAGCAACGACATCCGACAACGACAAAAACGATAATGATAATGAACCACCAACCAATGAAATAGACAAATTTCCGAACGGTTGTCCTGTAAATCACTACATCCATTTACTTCTCCCACACGAGCATGACTGTGCAAAGTTTTACGCATGCGACCATGGAAGAAAAATATTGAGGGATTGTGCTCAAGGAACGCTCTTCGACGTGCAGTTACAGGTAATTTTTATCATACTATTTCCCGAGAAAATTATTTAGAGACTAAATGTTCATTCGTTATAAATAAGTGTTATTATTGTTCACCAGGTTTGCAACTTTCCTCATTTAGTCAATTGTAATGCGACTGCTACAACTACAGTTAAAACTACCAGTTCTGAAGCAGCCACATCAGTTCATACTCCTACCACAAACAAAGATGAAGATATCGATGAAGATTTGAAAGAAACAGCTATTGAGTCTACGATTTCTGAAGCTCCATCAACAAAAGAAGGAGAAATAAGTACAACAGGCATTACTACTGAACCGAGTAGCACAACAGATTACAAATACATTACAACTGATAGTATTGATGATCAAACTACTTCAGGTAGTTATTATTATTGTATTTTAAATTAAAATTAATATTTTTTATTCAATTAAAATATTGTTGGAATAAAAACTTCAGCGTTTATATATTTCATTGAAATGTATTAAAGATGATAAATTACTTATAGCAGTATTTATTTTGTTTTTTTTTTTCAATTAAAGCATAAGACCCTTAGATATTTTTATATCTAAAGGAATACTTACCTAAAAAATAAAAGCTCGCCCAAGGTGTCAGGTTGGTGCTATCTAATGCAATTAATATTTCATTTACAGGATCTACAGATGGAGTTACAAAAAATGTAACTACCACATTAGATTATAATACACCGTCGGGTTCCGGGACTACAAAGGATACTGATGAGGCTAGTACGACAGACATCACTAATGCTATTCCAGATGTTACAAGTACCCAAGCAGCAATAGAGAGTACGTCAGACGATAAGCAGATCTAAATTATTCATAAGTACAAATTACAATATTATGTAAAAATATGACAACATAATAATTATAATAGACTTCTCGTTTTCCATTTATCAACAAATAGAGAAATGTAACATGCGATGCATAGGTTTCACACATTTCATGTTTAAACTTAATATTTTGTAAAACTAAAAAGCTTAAGCTCTCCTTAGATTCTTCTACAACTGAAAGAAGTGATAACACAACGATGCCACCCACAACATCGTCTTCACCGGTCACTCCAATATGTTCCCCGGGAACTTTCGGCAATGTTCCGCACCCGGAGTTGTGTAATTCATTCTACATGTGCGCTGGGGGAACGGCTACTCAACTGTTCTGTTCATCTGGCTTTGAGTTTGATCCCCAAAGGAGAGTGAGTATGTAAACAGCTAATAATAAAAAAAGTTACGGACACTTTTACTGTTTTGTTTTTATTTTCATGAGTATTTAATTTCAGACTTGTGTGCCCATAGCTCCTGGTGGATGCACTCTTGGTTCCATGACTACTGGACCTCCCGTTTGGAGTACAACTACGGTGTTGAGCACGAGCAATGATGATCAAACCGAATCAACGGGTATCAACTATTCTACAACTCCAAGCATCATCATCAATACTGTCACTGAAGATGAAGACAATATAACCGTTTCTAGCATCACACCACCAGCAGCGTCTACGATAACTGATAATGGAAGTGATCGAACAACATTAGAAACAAACTCTACGATAACCACACCATCATCGGTGCCATCAACTAGTTATTTCGGAACAGACAGTACTAATACGGCAGAGACGGATACTACGAAGACCACAGCAATAACATCGCATGAAACAACTTCATCGGAAACAGATAGGCCGAACGGAACTTCGACGGTTGAACCTAATAGTTCCACTAATCACGTTAGCACAGGGAGCGCCACCCAAACTACGACAGACGTCATAACAACAGAAGCAGCTACTGAACTTCCAACACGACAAACTACAGATAGTTTAGTGACAGACGGAACAACTAGGGAAGTAATTACTACGGAAGGATCAACTGAACCTTCAATTGGACCTGACAATACCACCCTGCCTACAACAACTATTGTTTCTACAACGCCAGAAGTGACAGGTGAGAAACTGTCGTTGTAAAAGTTACCCAGCAATTTCTTTATTAAATTTTATAAAACACAACAACTGGAGAAACTGGTTATTTCTCAGGTAACTAAAATTATTCTTAGAAATAAATATTATTGAAGGTATTGCAGATTAGTGAATTTATGCTTAGATGACAGAAATCCAGAATTTTTGTTGCCTTTTATAGTTATGTTATTATGTTGAGTTATGAACAAACTTTCTAAAGTTATACCAAAATCTTTAGTTTCATAGTCACGTTGATTATCTAATCATTATCTATGTTACTGTTATAGATCATATCCTTTTTTTATTGAATGCCACTTCAAAGCATTTTTTATTATAATGGGACATGCTAGTTTTTACATAGCACTGGATGACATAGTAAATATTTTTTATAGCATTATTTGCCATTCCACTCCCCCATCAAATGTAAAATAATTCGTCTTCTTTTATAGGACAGAACCATAATAGATTTCCCTTAAAGTTAGTAATCAATGCAAATAACTAAAGCTCCGAGGTATGAACCCTGGGCCACGCCTAAAGTATTGCTTCTGTCAAAGTACACCAAACACAGAGAAATGAGAACACCAGTTTTACATGTCAATAATTATCATACCGTTTTGTGACCAGTGACCAGCACGATAGAATAAATAGTGAAATTATTTTTTCAGGTTCATATTCAACTATAGAAACTGATGTAACAACAATAGCGTCTACAACATCGTCTTCACCAGCCCCTCCCATATGTCCTCCGGGAAGTTTCGGCAATGTTCCACACCCGGAGTTGTGTAATTCATTCTTCATGTGCGCGGGGGGAACGGCTACACAGCTGTTCTGCTCATCTGGCTTTGAGTTTGATCGCGAAAGAAGAGTAAGTATATCAACAGCGAGTAAGGAGAGGGTTAGGTACATTTTACTTTTTAATTTTCATGAGTATTTCATTTCAGACTTGTGTGCCAATAGCGCCTGGCGGATGCACTCTTGGTTCCGTGACTACTGGACCTCCCGTTTGGAGTACAACTACGGTGTTGAGCACGAGCAATAATGATCAAACCGAATCCTATTCTACAACTCCAAGCGTCAGTACTGTCACTGAAGATGAAGACAATATAACCGTTTCTAGCATCACACCACCAGCAGCGTCTACGATAACAGATAATGGAAGTGACCTAACAACATTAGAAACAAACTCTACGATAACTACACCATCATCGGTACTATCAACTAGTTCTTTCGGAACAGAAAGTACTAATACGGCAGAGACCGATACTATGAAGACCACAGCAATAACATCGAATGAAACAACTTCATCGGAAACAGATAGGCTGAACGGAACTTCGACGGTTGAACCTAATAGTTCCACTAATCATGTTAGCATAGGGAGCGCCACCCAAACTACGACAGACGTGATTACAACAGAAGCAGCTACTGAACTTCCAACACGACAAACTACAGATAGTTTAGTGACAGACGGAACAACTAGGGAAGTAATTACTTCGGAAGGATCAACTGAATCTTCACTTGGACCTGACAATACCACCCTGCCTACAACAACTATTGTTTCTACAACGCCAGAAGTGACAGGTGAGAAGCTGTCGTTGTAAAACTTACTTATCAATTTCTTTATTTACTTTAATAAAACACACCAACTGAATAAGCTACTAAAATTTCTCAGGTAACTTTAAATACAAGGTGTGCATTTCTTAAAAGTAGATAGATCAGCAGTCCGGATCATCGGTTATACCGCATTATTCCCTTCTTAGTGGATGATCGCTTCAGATGAAGCTCGTATGACCCTTCTGGTCGTAAGCATGAAGTACAGGTGTGTTTTAGTCAGAAAGAGTCTGACATATTTATGCAGACGGCTGTAGGGTTTTCTTGAGGATTTCACACCCGCTCCCCCGCCTGGGAGAAAGCAGAAAAGATCGTTGGTATTCATAGGTATTTAAAAACAAAATCGGATTGATTTTGAGTTTAAGACGCAGTTTGTCTTTGATTTATTCATTTAAGTTGAGATACATAGATTGATATTAACTGGTTTTTCTAATATCCGATACAAAAAATTACGACTCCTGCTCAAATATATTGTGGTAACTACAGGCAACTACGAAACCCTACCCTACGCGTTACACGACACGCACTTGGCCGGTTTTATTGAATGTCATTACAAAGTATTCTTTTTATTATTCAGAGACCTGCTTGTAATAAATAACACTGAATAAATGTGTAAATATATATTTTTTTAATTTATAGCACTACGTATCATCCCCTTTCCCCCATAATTGGAATAAAATGTAAATTCTTCTATGTTTATAGGGACAGAATCAAGATAGATTTTCTGTACACTTAGTAATAAATGGAAACAACTTAAGCTCCGAGAAGTGAACCCTGGGGCACTCCTCATGTATTACAGCTTCTGACAAACTATACCAAAAACACAGATATGAGAACACCAGTTTTACTTGTCTATAATTATTATACTGTTTTGTGACCAGTGACCAGCACGATAGCATAAATAGTGAAATTATCCTTTCAGGTTCATATTCAACTATAGAAACTGATGTAACAACAATATCGCCTACAACATCGTCTTCACCAGCCCCTCCCATATGTTCTCCGGGAACTTTCGGCAATGTTCCACACCCCGAGTTGTGTAATTCATTCTTCATGTGCGCGGGGGGAACGGCTACACAGCTGTTCTGCTCATCTGGGTTTGAGTTTGATCGCGAAAGGAGAGTGAGTATATCAACAACTAGTAAGGAGAAGGTTAGGTACACTTTTACTTTTTAATTTTCATGAATATTTTATTTCAGACTTGTGTGCCAATAGCTCCTGGCGGATGCACTCTTGGTTCCGTGACTACTGGACCTCCCGTTTGGAGTACAACTACGGTGTTGAGCACGAGCAATAATGATCAAACCGAATCAACGGGTAACAACTATTCTACAACTCCAACCGCCAGTACTGCCACCGAAGATGAAGACAATATAACCGTTTCTAGCATCACACCACCAGCAGCGTCTACGATAACTGATAATGGAAGTGATCTAACAACATTAGAAACAAACTCTACGATAACCACACCATCATCGGTGCCATCAACTAGTTCTTTCGGAACAGAAAGTACTAATACGGCAGAGACCGATACTACGAAGACCACAGCAATAACATCGAATGAAACAACTTTATCGGAAACAGATAGGCCGACCGAAACTTCGACGGTTGAACCTAATAGTTCCACTTATCAGGTTAGCACAGGGAGCGCCACCCAAACTACGACAGACGTGATTACAACAGAAGCAGCTACTGAACTTCCAACACGACAAACCACAGATAGTTTAGTGACAGACGGAACAACTACGGAAGTAATTACTACGGAAGGATCAACTGAATCTTCAATTGGATCTGACAATACCACCCTGCCTACAACAACTATTGTTTCTACAACGCCAGAAGTGACAGGTGAGAAACTGTCGTTGTAAAACTTACCTATCAATTTCTTTATTTACTTTTATAAAACACACCAACTGAATAAGCTAGTAAAATTTCTCATGTAACTTTAAATACAAAAGGTGTGTATTTCTTAGATAGAGATAGATCAGCAATCAAGATCAGCGGTTATACTGCATCATTCCCTTCTCAGTGGATGATCGCTTCAGATGAAGCTCGTAAGGCCCTTCTGGCCATAAGCATGAACTAACTACAGGTGTGTTTTAGTCAGTAAGAGTCTGACATATCTTTGCAGCCGCCTGTAGGGTATCCTTGAGGATTTCACACCCGCTCCCCCGCCTGGGAGGAAGCAAAAAGATCGATGGTATTCATAGGTATTTAAAAAAAATCGAATTGATTTTGAGTTTAAGACGCAGTTTGACTTTGATTTAGGCATTTAAGTTGAGATACATAGATTGATATTAACTGGTTTTTCTAATATCCGATATAAAAAATTAAGACTCCTGCTCAAATACATTGTGGTAACTACAGGCAACTACGTTACCCTACACTACGCGTTGCACAACACGCACTTGTCCGGTTTCATTGAATGTCATTACAAAGTATTGTTTTTATTATTCAGAGGCCTGCTTGTAATAAATAGCACTGGATGAATATGTATTTTTTTTAATTAATAGCATTACGTATCGTCCCCCTTCCCCCATAATTGGAATAAAATGTAAATTCGTCTCTGTTTATGGGACAGAATCAACATAGATTTTCTGTACAGTTAGTAATAAATGCAAACAACTTAAGCTCCGAGATGCCTAATGTTTTACAGCTTCTGACAAACTATACCAAAAACACAGATATGAGAACACCAGTTTTACATGTCTATAATAATTATCATACTGTTTTGTGACCAGTGACCAGCACGATAGCATAAATAGTGAAATTATCCTTTCAGGTTCATATTCAACTATTGAAACTGATGTAACTACAACATCGTCTTCACCGGCCCCTCCCATATGTCCTCCGGGAACTTTCGGCAATATTCCACACCCGGAGTTGTGTAATTCATTCTTCATGTGCGCGGGGGGAACGGCTACACAGCTGTTCTGCTCATCTGGCTTTGAGTTTGATCGCGAAAGGAGAGTGAGTATATCAACAGCTAGTAAGGAGAAGGTTAGGTACACTTTTACTTTTTAATTTTCATGAATATTTTATTTCAGACTTGTGTGCCAATAGCTCCTAGCGGATGCACTCTTGGTTCCGTGACTACTGGACCTCCCGTTTGGAGTACAACTACGGTGGTGAGCACAAGCAATAATGATCAAACCGAATCAACGGGTACCAACTATTCTACAACTCCAAGCATCAGTACTGTCACCGAAGATGAAGACAATATAACCGTTTCTAGCATCACGCCACCAGCAGCGTCTACGATAACTGATAATGGAAGTGATCTTACAACATTAGAAACAAACTCTACGATAACCACACCATCATCGGTGCCATCAACTAGTTCTTTCGGAACAGAAAGTACTAATACGGCAGAGACCGATACTACGAAGACCACAGCAATAACATCGAATAAAACAACTTCATCGGAAACAGATATGCTGAACGGAACTTCAACGGTTGAACCTAATAGTTCCACTAATAAGGTTAGCACAGGGAGCGCCACCCAAACTACGGCAGACGTAATAACAACAGAAGCGGCTACGGAACATCCAACACGACAAACCACAGATAGTTTAGTGACAGACGGAACAACTACGGAAGTAATTACTACGGAAGGATCAACTGAATCTTCAATTGGATCTGACAATACCACCCTGCCTACAACAACTATTGTTTCTACAACGCCAGAAGTGACAGGTGAGAAACTGTCGTTGTAAAACTTACCTATCAATTTCTTTATTTACTTTTATAAAACACACCAACTGAATAAGCTAGTAAAATTTCTCATGTAACTTTAAATACAAAAGGTGTGTATTTCTTAGATAGAGATAGATCAGCAATCAAGATCAGCGGTTATACTGCATCATTCCCTTCTCAGTGGATGATCGCTTCAGATGAAGCTCGTAAGGCCCTTCTGGCCATAAGCATGAACTAACTACAGGTGTGTTTTAGTCAGTAAGAGTCTGACATATCTTTGCAGCCGCCTGTAGGGTATCCTTGAGGATTTCACACCCGCTCCCCCGCCTGGGAGGAAGCAAAAAGATCGATGGTATTCATAGGTATTTAAAAAAAATCGAATTGATTTTGAGTTTAAGACGCAGTTTGACTTTGATTTAGGCATTTAAGTTGAGATACATAGATTGATATTAACTGGTTTTTCTAATATCCGATATAAAAAATTAAGACTCCTGCTCAAATACATTGTGGTAACTACAGGCAACTACGTAACCCTACACTACGCGTTGCACAACACGCACTTGTCCGGTTTTATTGAATGTCATTACAAAGTATTGTTTTTATTATTCAGAGGCCTGCTTGTAATAAATAGCACTGGATGAATATGTATTTTTTTTAATTAATAGCATTACGTATCGTCCCCCTTCCCCCATAATTGGAATAAAATGTAAATTCGTCTCTGTTTATGGGACAGAATCAACATAGATTTTCTGTACAGTTAGTAATAAATGCAAACAACTTAAGCTCCGAGATGCCTAATGTTTTACAGCTTCTGACAAACTATACCAAAAACACAGATATGAGAACACCAGTTTTACATGTCTATAATAATTATCATACTGTTTTGTGACCAGTGACCAGCACGATAGCATAAATAGTGAAATTATCCTTTCAGGTTCATATTCAACTATTGAAACTGATGTAAGAACAATATCGCCTACAACATCGTCTTCACCGGCCCCTCCCATATGTCCTCCGGGAACTTTCGGCAATATTCCACACCCGGAGTTGTGTAATTCATTCTTTATGTGCGCGGGGGGAACGGCTACACAGCTGTTCTGCTCATCTGGCTTTGAGTTTGATCGCGAAAGGAGAGTGAGTATGTCAACACCTAGTAAGGAGAAGGTTAGGTACACTATTACTTTTTAATTTTCATGAGTATTTCATTTCAGACTTGTGTGCCAATAGCTCCTGGCGGATGCACTCTTGGTTCCGTGACTACTGGACCTCCCGTTTGGAGTACAACTACGGTGGTGAGCACAAGCAATAATGATCAAACCGAATCAACGGGTACCAACTATTCTACAACTCCAAGCATCAGTACTGTCACCGAAGATGAAGACAATATAACCGTTTCTAGCATCACGCCACCAGCAGCGTCTACGATAACTGATAATGGAAGTGATCTTACAACATTAGAAACAAACTCTACGACAACCACACCATCGTCGGTGCTATCAACTAGTTCTTTCGAAACAGAAAGTACTACTACGACAGAGACTGACACTACAAGAACCACAGCAATAACATCGAATGAAACAACTTCGTCGGAAACAGATAGGCCGACCGAAACTTCTACGGGTGAACCTAATAGTTCCACTTATGAGGTTAGCACAGGGAGCGCCACCCAAACTACGACAGACGTGATTACAACAGAAGCAGCTACTGAACTTCCAACACGACAAACTACAGATAGTTTAGTGACAGACGGAACAACTTGGGAAGTAATTACTACGGAAGGATCAACTGAATCTTCAATTGGACCTGACAATACCACCCTGCCTACAACAACTATTGTTTCTACAACGCCAGAAGTGACAGGTGAGAAACTGTCGTTGTAAAACTTACCTATCAATTTCTTTATTTACTTTTATAAAACACACCAACTGTATAAGCTAGTAAAATTTCTCATGTAACTTTAAATACAAAAGGTGTGTATTTCTTAGATAGATATAGATCAGCAATCAAGATCAGCGGTTATACATTCCCTTCTCAGAGGATGATCGCTTCAGATGAAGCTCGTAAGGCCCTTCTGGCCATAAGCATGAACTAACTACAGGTGTGTTTTAGTCTGTAAGAGTCTGACATATCTTTGTAGCCGCCTGTAGGGTATCCTTGAGGATTTCACTCCCGCTCCCCCGTCTGGGAGGAAGCAAAAAGATCGATGGTATTCATAGGTATTTAAAAAAAATCGAATTGATTTTGAGTTTAAGACGCAGTTTGACTTTGATTTAGGCATTTAAGTTGAGATACATAGATTGATATTAATTGGTTTTTCTATTATCCGATATGAAAAATTAAGACTCCTGCTCAAATATATTGTTGTAACTGCAGGCAAGTACGGAACCCTACACTACGCGTTGCACGACACGCACTTGGCCGGTTTTATTGAATGTCATTACAAAGTATTCTTTTTATTATTCAGAGACCTGCTTGTAATAAATAGCACTGGATGAATGTGTATTTTTTTTTAATTAATAGCATTACGTATAATTGGAACAAAATGTAAATTCGTCTCTGTTTATGGGACAGAATCAAGATAGATTTTCTGTAAAGTTAGTAATAAATGCAAACAACTTAAGCGCCGAGATGCCTAATGTTTTACAGCCTCTGACAAACTATACCAAAAACACAGATATGAGAACACCAGTTTTACATGTCTATAATTATCATACTGTTTTGTGACCAGTGACCAGCACGATAGCATAAATAGTGAAATTATCCTTTCAGGTTCATATTCAACTATAGAAAGTGATGTAACAACAATAGCGCCTACAACATCGTCTTCACCAGCCCCTCCCATATGTCCTCCGGGAACTTTCGGCAATGTTCCACACCCGGAGTTGTGTAATTCATTCTTTATGTGCGCGGGGGGAACGGCTACACAGCTGTTCTGCTCATCTGGCTTTGAGTTTGATCGCGAAAGGAGAGTGAGTATGTCAACAGCTAGTAAGGCGAATGTTAGGTACACTTTTAGTTTTTAATTTTTATGAGTATTTCATTTCAGACTTGTGTGCCAATAGCTCCTGGCGGATGCACTCTTGGTTCCGTGACTACTGGATCTCCCGTTTGGAGTACAACTACGGAGTTAAGCACGAGCACTAATAATCAAACCGAATCAACGGGTATCAACTATACTACAACTCCAAGTGTCAGTACTGTCACCGAAGATGAAGATAATATAACCGTTTCTATCATCACGCCACCAGCAGCGTCTACGATGACTGATAATGGAAGTGGTCTTACAACATTAGAAACAAACTCTACGACAACCACACCATTGCCGGTGCCATCAACTAGTTCTTTCGGAACAGAAAGTACTACTACGACAGAGAGTGACACTACAAGAACCACAGCAATAACTTCGAATGAAACAACTTCGTCGGAAACAGATAGGCCGACCGAAACTTCTACGGGTGAACCTAATAGTTCCACTTATGAGGTTAGCACAGGGAGCGCCACCCAAACTACGACAGACGTGATTACAACAGAAGCAGCTACTGAACTTCCAACACAACAAACTACAGATAGTTTAGTGACAGACGGAACAACTTGGGAAATAATTACTACGGAAGGATCAACTGAATCTTCAATTGGACCTGACAATACCACCCTGCCTACAACAACTATTGTTTCTACAACACCAGAAGTGACAGGTGAGAAGCTGTCGTTGTAAAACTTACCTACAATTTTTTTTATTTACTTTTATAAAACACACTAACCGAATAAGCTAGTAAAACTTCTCAGGTAACTTTAAATACAACGTGTGTATTTCTTAAAAATAGATAGATCAGCAATCAAGATCAGCGGTTATACCGCATCATTCCCTTCTCAGTGGATGATCGCTTCAGATGAAGCTTGTAAGGCCCTTCTGGCCATAAGCATGAACTAACTACAGGTGTGTTTTAGTCAGTAAGAGTCTGAAATATTTATGCAGACGGTTGTAGGGTATCCTTGAGGATTTCACACTCGCTCCCCTGAGAGGAAGCAAAAAACATCGATGGCATTCATAGGTATTTAAAAACAAAAATCGGATTTATTTTGAGTTTAAGACGCAGTTTGACTTTGATTTAGGCATTTAAGATGAGATACATAGATTGATATTAACTGGTTTTTCTAATATCCGATATAAAAAATTAAGACTCCTGCTCAAATACATTGTGGTAACTACAGGCAACTACGTAACCCTACACTACGCGTTGCACGACACGCACTTGTCCGGTTTTATTGAAGGTCATTACAAAGAATTCTTTTATTATTCAGGGACTTGCTTGTTTTAATATAACTCTGAATGAATGTGTAAATATATATTTTTTTTATTTATAGCATTACGTATTATCTCCCTTCCCCCATAAATGAAGTAAAAGCTTAATTCATCTATGTTTATGGGACAGAATCAAGATAGATTTTCTGTACACTTAGTAATAAATGCAAACAACTAAAGCTCCGAGATGTGAACCCTGGGGCACGCCTAATGTATTACAGCTTCTGACAAACTATACCAGAAACACAGATATGAGAACACCAGTTTTACTTGTCTTTAATAGGCTAGTTGACTCATGTCGAATTGTATTAAATAAATGTTTATTTCTTAAAGTATTTGGTTTAAGGAAGCTAAATATATCCATTTCACTTCATAAAAGCAGAAGATTGCTGTAGAAATTTAATTTCAAAAAAATATTTTAGTCCATACTTTGTAAACACTAAAAACGCAGTTCGCCACATCCGCCATGATTGTGACGTCTCTTTTAGTAAACAACTAAATGTCATTCATACATAACTTTAAAACTTGTATTATTAAAACTGATAATAAATGAAGAGACTTAAAATATTATTCAATGAGTACTTACAACAAAGCGATCTTCGCAAAATAAATTTTACTATGAGTCGATAAAGTTGCAGGATCACTTTTAGGAAGTTCTAACCAGGTATGTACAGTAGGTTAATTTCTTTCGGCACTTTAATCCACTCACTTTCTTGGAGTCTTCAAGGATGTGTTTTTACATTTCGTACAATACAATAATGATTATTACTATATTTTTCGTTGTATCTATTAGAAATCATGTTTTTTTTTATTATAAACTCAGATAGGTTATTTTCTACGTGCTTACGAGTTTTTGTTTACTACCGACGACGTCTTAGCATAGATAATCTATAGACTAAAATGGCCGACAGCGTTTTTGTATGTCCATGAAAAGTCTAATTTAAAATTAAAGATTTGTAGCTTTCCAAGTCTCAAAAAAATACAATACATTTTTTTTAATAGAACATTTATTAACCATTTAAAACCTTTTTCCAAAAAGGGTCAACTAGCATAGGCTAGTCAGCATAAATATAGTATCATACTGTTTTGTGACCAGCACGATAGCGTAAATAGTGAAATTATCCTTTCAGGTTCATATTCAACTATAGAAACTGATGTAACAACAATAGCGCCTACAACATCGTCTTCACCAGCCCCTCCCATATGTCCGCCGGGAACTTTCGGCAATGTTCCACATTCGGAGTTGTGTAATTCATTCTTTATGTGCGCGGGGGGAACGGCTACACAACTGTTCTGCTCATCTGGTTTTGAGTTTGATCGCGAAAAGAGAGTGAGTATATCAACAGATAGTAAGGAGAAGGTTAGGTACACTTTTAGTTTTTAATTTTTATGATTTTTTCATTTCAGACTTGTGTGCCAATAGCTCCTGGTGGATGTACTCTTGGTTCCGTGACTACTGGATCTCCCGTTTGGAGTACAACAACGGAGTTAAGCACGAGCAATAATGATCAAACCGAATCAACGGGTATCAACTATTCTACAACTCCAAGTGTCAGTACTGTCACCGAAGATGAAGACAATATAACCGTTTCCAGCATCACGCCACCAGCAGCGTCTACGATAACTGATAATGGAAGTGATCTTACAACATTAGAAACAAACTCTACGACAACCACACCATCATCGGTGCCATCAACTAGTTCTTTTGGAACAGAAAGTACTAATACGGCAGAGACCGATATTACGAAGACCACAGCAATAACATCGAATGAAACAACTTCATCGGAAACAGATAGGCCGAACGGAACTTCGACGGTTGAACCTAATAGTTCCACTTATCAGATTAGCACAGGGAGCACCACCCAAACTACGACAGACGTGATTACAACAGAAGCTGCAACTGAAACTCCAACACGACAAACTACAGATACTTTAGTGACAGACGGAACAACTAGAGAAGTAATTACTACGAAAGGATCAACTGAATCTTCTATTGGACCTGACAATACCACCCTACCTATAACAACTGTTGTTTCTACAACCCCAGAAGTGACAGGTGAGAAACTGTCGTTATAAGACTTACCTAACAAATTCTTTATTTACTTTTATAAAACACACCAACTGAAAAAGCTAGTAAAATTCTCATGTAATGTAAATGTAAATACAAGGTGTGTATTTCTTAAAAATAGATAGATCAGCAATCAAGATCAGCGGTTATACCTAATTTTAAATACAAGGTGTGCATTTCTTAGAAATAGTTATAATATTATTGGTGCTTTGCCCGCTTCGTTGTCATAGTGTTACTTTTTTTTAATGTTTTGCCATGTATTGCCAGTGGCCAGCACGTTACCATAAATAGTGAAATTATTTTTTCAGGTTTGTATTCAACTACAGAAGCTGATATAACAACAATAGCGCCTACAACATCGTCTTCACCAGCCCCTCCCATATGTCCTCCGGGAACTTTCGGCAATATTCCACACCCGGAGTTGTGTAATTCATTCTTTATGTGCGCGGGGGGAATTGCTACACAGCTGTTCTGCTCATCTGGTTTTGAGTTTGATCGCGAAAGGAGAGTAAGTTTACTATTTTAAAGGTTTACTTAAATGAAATTCTATTTGTGTTTAATATTTTTATTGTATTACTGTTTGCAATTTGACTTATCAATTAAATCATTTTTTTGGTTTTCATTCGACACTTTTTTGGATTTCTCAGACTTGTGTAGCAATTGCACCAGGAGGATGTTCTATGAGTACTGTTGCACCATTTGGGTTGTCGAAGAATGAAGAGCGTAAAATATGCCCCGAAGTTATATCTACTGTCGTACCTCATTCCGACATTTGCAATGCTTACTACGTGTGTGAACAAGGTGTTCATACTCAATTATATTGCTCTCGAGGATATGAATTTGATTCTGAGACCAAGGTAAGTTTTTTTACACTGAGTTAACCAAAAGATTCAACTAGGGTATGATGATGTCGTTTTATCAGATCAATGTTAATTGGACAATATATAAAAAAATATGGTTAAGTTTCCCGGCTTCATGGGGGAGGGAGTTTTCATTCACTACTACTACTCTTACCCCTGGTTGGCATTAGTGGTACTCTGGAGCGCAAGTATTTACAGGCATATATACGAGTAGTTTTCCAACCCATTTGCATAAAAAATAGATTTATGGAATAGAAATGAAACAATGAAGAGAGAGATTTGAGATAGTTTAATGTGGCTGTCCTTAAATTACTAATTTTGTCACCTTTCAGAGATGTGAGTTAATATCTGCTGGCGGATGCTCACAAAAAAAGAGTAAAGATGCCAATATCAATGAGAATGCAACAATTTTAGATGTCAGAAGTATTACAACAGATTCTCTGTGTGAAAATGAACCTGATGATAATCTTTTACCTCATCTAGAAAAATGTAATGCGTTTTATAAATGCTCCAACGGGAAAGCTTTAGAACTCTTTTGCGAAGAAGGATTGGAGTTCAATCATAATACCAAGGTAAATACTGTAGCTTAATTTTTTGTTAGGTTAGATGCACTGATTTTATTTACTTATTGACGTTTAAAGAAATGGAAAAAAATCTCCTATATTTGATACATCACGTATCACGAAAGAGTATCACGACCGAAAGGACAATGGCGAAATGTTTGTTGAAGGAATTCTTTAGCTTCTATAGATTTCAACATCAGAAATAGAAATAAAATAATCTTAACGGATTTATCGCATTATTGAGGAGGGCTGTCTCTTAGTCTGGAATTAAAAACTTAAATTCTGGAAAAACAATTGAGTGTTCACATTTTTGTATTGTGGCTTAGCGTCGTGTCTTCTGAGCCTACTATTTTAAGTAATTTCAGTGATTCAATCAACCTCAAGTATGTTGTTAGTATGTTTTGCACGGCTTTACGCTTAAAATATATTTAATTGTCTTTCAGAAAGATTGAAATATTGTTTTATTCATTAATGATATAGTTAAAGTGAAAGCATAATAAAAGTAAATAATCAATCCGATATAAAGGGATGGACCCAGTGTTCTCTTTTAGAACGTCTTCTCTATTTCTTAAACTTCATGTAATAACTAGTACTGTAATAAATAGTACAACTTTATCACAGAATATTGCTCCCATGACGCGCGCCTCACTAAATTTTCGGGGGAACATTTAATGTCCGCACACCGTGTGTGTTGAGTCCGTGACAAGTCCTCGATCGTTTAATTTTTCATAATACGGGGACAAAAGTCTGTGCAGGCTATAATCAAAAAAAATCTTATTAGTTGTACCACAATTCTGTTCATACATATTTGCTGAATTGAAGTGTACAACTGTTCGTTTCCAGTACCCTTAGTACGAGTTTTACAATTACGAAAACTATGATAGTTTTCGTGAGCTCGCACTCGTACTAAGGGGTACTGATTTTATTGTTTTCGTTTCAATACAAATAAACAGTGTTTAAATTCTATCATTAAATCATTTGCGTCTTCTTAAATTTTAAGTATATTTGGTTACTTTTTACCAAAATGGACATGGAAACATAATTTACAATTACGAAAACTATGATAGTTTCTGTGAGCTCAAACTCGTACTAAGGGTACAGAAATCTTTTCGTGCACTTAGGTCGTGGTTAGGTACGGGAGCTGGTCAGCTGGCTAGCCGCTCGGACTGCGGTCCGTGAGACTAGTCAGGTGACGCTATGAACGGAGAAGCCCAGGATCGGCTAAAGCGGGTGCGGACTGGGCTGCTGGTCGGAGGCGGGGTGGTTTGACTTAAGGCACGCTTGCGTGAGTGTACGTCAAAGTATACCCGCACCGACTAGCGGCCCACGGGCTGCTCGCCGCTTGCCGAATGCACCACGCAATTACCTGCGTCGCGAGGATTTGTGTTCAGCAAAACAAACGTGGCGTAGGTTTTTGTCGTGAATATAATGCATTTTTTCTCCCCGTCATCGAAAAAGAAGGGACATCGTGGAGGGGAGCTCCTTCCATAACTTTATTGTCCACGCACTATAATGGAAGTAGCTCCTTTAAACGATGTCCCCTAAAGTGCATGGTCCACGAAATGAGTTTTACACGGCTGTGTCACTAGAGTTACTGATGTCCATGGACGACGGTGACAACCTGTACCATTAGAAGGCCCGTCTGCTCGCCTGCCTTCGAAGGCAATCAGTGTTGCCAGGTCTCTCGATATTACAGGAGATTTCCTGTTTTTCTGAAATTTCTCGTGTTCTTCTACATGAATCTACTGTTTTTCTTAGAACACGATTTTCTTTTTTTAATTGCATGTTGAGTTGCATTTCCCGCCGTTAAGTATGTAGGTAACCTTAATTATTATAAAAAAAACGGTTGTCTGTAAAGTCGGTTTATTGTCGATAGTTGAACGTGACAACGTTTTCTTACAATGTACATAGTTTTTAAAAGTAGGAATGTGCATTTTTCACTGCACTTCATACTTGACGAAAACATTTAAATGTATTATTGTATAGCAGCTGTCCACGCGGATGTATTGCTCACTCAAGTAGGAGAGAGACAGATGTCGAACGCTGCCGAACGCGGAGTCCGATTGTGCCTCTTTGTCGCTCGTTGCGCGCTTTCGCTTGCACTCCAAGCCTTAAATGGAACGTCTCAGAGCGAGGTAACGCCGCATGAGTCATGTTTTTTCGTGCGTGCAGCCGCCTCCATCGAATTATAAGACGTTGTCACGTCAATAAATGTAATTGCCTTTAAAATAAAACGAGCTTTGAGGGGCGGCAGAAGCCACAGGAACACATTAGGCACTGGCCTATTTCTTGATTTGATTTACCAATTCTAGGGGGTGCAAATCGGAAAAAGTACGTCTCTGCATCTACTGTTTTTTCTTATAGCACTCTCCATACATCTACTGTTTTTTTCTATAACGCCTCCCGATTTTTCAAAATCGAACCTGGCAAAACTGAAGACAATAAACTAAGTCAATGAGTTTTTGGCGGGATTTCTTCGAGTGCGGTGGCGTCTTATTTTATTTATTCTTAAATTATATTGTGAAATAAAATTTGTGTGATTTTGTGTTACAACCGTCTGCGCAACTGAAGAATTAGTGGAATATTTAAAATATACGACGCTATTCCGGTCAAGTGGACGTTAGAACTTTATTGTAGTATTCACTACCTCACAGAAGCTTATCGGAATAGCCAACTCAATACATTTCGTGCCAAACACTCCAAGTAACATTAGAATGAGGCACACCAACATTCAAAAGTAAAAAAAAAGAAAATTAAAATAACCTAAGACTTGGCTATATGGGCATTGTTCCCTTTGCCGGCTCTGAAAAGGGAGAATCCTAATTAAACTTAGTCAAATATCGGTCGCACGCCTTTGAGCACCCCCCCCCCCCCCCTTATTCCCGTTCTTCTTCTTTAAAATATAATACCGACATTTTTTTTCTTTTCAGGCATGTATACCGATATCCGGAGATGGCTGCACATCAAGAAAATGATTACTAATGAGGTTAAAATAATTTAAAAAGTGTCAGTATTTGAAACTTATTTGTGATATATTACGGCCATGATAGTTAAGGGTTTTGTCAATATTTTTAACAGTAACGCCACAGGGTTGTGCTATATAGTCATTTAATTTATTTTGTTTTTTAAACATACTAATTATATTTTGATTGAAATCATGCCATTGTTTTGTCATTTTATCCTTTGATCATGACATTGATAAATGATTACCTATTATAGCATTTATAGCTTTTGGTTAAAATTAATATCAAGTTGAGCAATAATCTGAGCAAGGCTTTTGTATAAATGACGTTTCTGGGGTTATTCTCATGTTTAACAAGAGCTATATTACTAATAAAAGTATTTATTTCTCACTTCAGTTCACAATTCTTTCTTGAATGCAATGATTCATTGTCAGGGTCGCATTTAAAACAGAGCTGTGGTCCAGGGCGTCCCACAACAGTGATACAAAATATAGAATCAGATGGGTACTAAACCAGGGGGGGCACCACTCTTTCGTTGCCCCAGGGGCCCCACACCTCTAAATCCGGCCCTGCTCACTGAAGATACGCGATTTGATTTCATAATAATCTAATCAATGCAAAATAAATAGGAAGTATTTAAATTAAATATCAAAGATAAAAGAAATTTGATGAAATCCTACAGTAGCCACATTCTTTTTCGCAACGCCCGACTTCTTAATCATGAACAAAATTCTATTCTAAATATTATTTTTAACTTTTTTAGTTAGTTACTTTTTCTCTCACTCGCGGTGACAGTCCTGAGCAAAAATACACGCGCACACGTTTTATTGGCAAAGCCAGCATTGCTGAGCGATATTATCTAAGTGTCGCCGCACACGGGCCACACGCCACAGCCACAAACGCCGCCACGAGAAGCTAGAAGCGGCTACTAAAGTGGCTGAAGCGCGCGACAGCGGCCGACTAAGTGTCGCCGCACACGGGCCACCGACCACAACCACAAAACGGTACGCCGATGCCCGCCACACGCTACTAGTGTTGAGTAGGACTTACAAGAGGCGGTACATTTGTCCCGGACATGACGCCAAATTGTAAGAGCGGCTCAAAATTTTAAAATGTACTACTTCACATTAAATGTCGCGATAGTCGCGTCTCGTTACTCACTCACTCTTCGTAAGTCTGAGAGAGAGAGCGAGGCATGACATTTCATTTAAGTCCTCTACGCACTATCCATCTGTATCTCTATCTGTTTTACGTGTATAGCGCTATCCTGCATGCTAGATCCAGCAAGATTGATAGTGCGTAAAGGAGGTGCTACTCGTGCACACAAACGTAATGTCGAGCTTCTGTACGCCTCAATGTCATATTTGTACTCATCACTTCAAATGTATTGCCGAGCTTCAGTACGCCTCGCCTCATTTGAAGTGGGATATTGTACTGGTTCAGTACAAAAAAGAGGCTACTCTTACAAACTCTTTTTCAAGTCGTGTCCTACCCAACACTACACGCTACAAATCGTCGTTGCTCGCTTCTTGTGGCCCGCACCGGCCACTTAATGCGCCGATACAAAACGCCGCCACACGTCACTCACGCGATTCCCCACCCCTCTCTCCCTTACCTTAGTCGGATACTCGTGAACCTCACAGGTACATTTCCTAGATTTGTTATCACTATTACAAGATCCCTAGGGATTTGCAAAGTCTAGTAAGTAAGTAATTTATATTGAATGTGCTGTAGGAAAAAAAATACTTCAATTCATAGGAGCCTTTATTTTAAATTAATGACATTTCATAATTTAATTTCATGTCAAGTCTATCCACCAGTGACTAGCCAGCCATTGATTAGGTATATCTGAAATAGAAGAAAGATTTATTTAATATAGAATCAATATTATATAATATACATTTGCAAGATATATATATTGTTTTATAAATATGTCGAAATAAATGAATGAATATTTATTACACATTCTTATTTTTTTTAAATCAGCGGTTTACATCATAATAATATTATGTAAAAAGTAGTGGCCCCAGAATAGAGCCCAGAAGAACACAAAATATAATCATAACGCGGCCAACGCGGGGAAAACTGTACATTGTTATTACTATTATTAATTATTAATTCATCAATAGTTAAATAAATTATTAATATGAATGTATTCTGCAATTAGCCTGAGTTGATTATACTTGTCGAATAATAACATATGTACTTACTTTGAAGTTTATGACGTCGTGTTCTAAGGAGACTCAGTGGTGACGTTTCCAAGAGTACAACCACCAGGGGCTAGTTGAACACATGTCTGAAATGGAAAATACACATGCTTACAGTGCGACAAGGATCTTTATAAATGTGAGTGACATTTCAGCGTGGGCGCCACTGGTGTCGATTCTAGCATGATTCTCTAAACCTAAACTTAAATTTGACAGCAGTATATCCTTGTCATTCTCTATACAGATTGAAAAGGAGAGACTGATTTTAAATTTAATTTTAAGTTTAGAGAATCACACCAGAATTGGCACCACTGTCTACGTAAAGTGACCGTTATGACATACAAAATATGACGTTTACAGAGAGGCAGCGTTAATTCCAATTTCCTCCACATTCATAAAGATCCTTGTCGGACTATATTTTAATTATTTATTTATCAATACTATTTATCACTAAAGATTGCCTTAAATTTAGGTAAACCCGCACTAATATTTATTTGACTTTCAACTTCCAACAGTTTCTGTTGAAATGTCAGAGACTCTCAAAAATCAAACGCTCATTCCCCACCGTCACATCAAACATTTTTTTTGGTATATTTTACACACTTTGGGTTACATTATCGAAGTTTTTATATGGAACCCTAACTTTTTTGAAAATAAATTATAGCCTATATTAATCAGTGATAACGTAGCATTCAAATGGTGAACGAATTTTTTAAATCGGTCCAGTACTTTTTGGGCCAATTCGTTACAAACATACTTACATAACCTTTCCTCTTTATAATATTAGTATAGATATATTAATACCGGTGTTAAGGTGGGAAAATTTCTTTCCCGACCTTAAAGCTAGTGCTACGGATGAGAACGGTTGATCAAGACCACAGAACACAGAAAGAGGTTAGAAAGGCCTTGTGGGCGGGGTAGGTGCGCCACAGTTATGTGTGAGTATTGCTCATAACCTAATCAAAACTTTTTTTCTGATTGGGTGGTTGCTCTCGGGTGTGAGCGCTGATTGGTTCAATTTGGTCAAATTGTTTGACGTCGCGTCGTTTGATTGGCTATTATCTATTAGGTGGAAGTGTAGTGGGAGCGAGCCGGTGACATCCGTTCCCGTATAAACGATCTTTTAATCACCATTCTAACCCCTTTCTGTGTTTTGTGGTCAGGAAATTGAAATTCGTAGGCCTCCAGAGGAAAGGAGATTGGTAGTATGTACATGGTAGAAATCCTGCTAATCACTAAATATATAATGTTAGTGACCAATTATTTATTCGGAGCACCAACAAAGTAACAATGACACATTTCTGAAGAATACAAAATAATTAATTTCAATAACGTAGCCTAAAGTTTGAATATTCTATTTTCACAATGTAAAACAGTTTCAATCTATAATATAACTTAACAAAGGTAACGTACTCAGTTTTTTTTATGAGGGTATAAACTTTTTTATAATATTGTGCAACACTTACTCGCAGTTGGGCATCATACTCGTGGCCCGATGTGCAGTACATTTGTATAGCGGCAGACCCCAAACACATAAAGAATGAGTTGCACAAGTCTGGATGTGGAACTGTGCCCATGAACCCTGAAGCACAGGACGATGGAGCTGGTGGTGCTGATGTGCTGCTTAGCACTGTTGTTACTTCAAATCCTCCCGACGTAGAGAAAACTGTAAATAAACAAATATTTCTAACAATCACACCAATGCGGATCATAGTTGGGAATGCAGATTTATAGAGCCAAGGATTCCAGAAAATACAGTTATTAAATTTTTGTTCTACGATAAATATTAACGAAGTCATGACTAAATTACTAAACGAATTTTCGGCTGGCCGCGTGGTGGCTGTGGCCACAGTGCTCTAGCGCTCGGGTGCAAGCGAGCTTACAGACGCTACTGAAGTTCGACCGAAGTCAACCACGATCCAGCTCTGTGACGTCATACGTTTCGGCAGCCGGTGAATATTTACTACCTCGTATGTAAAACTCAAAGGTGACTGCATGACATAGTGATCTATCAACGCACAGCCCAAACTACTGGACGGATCGGGCTAAAATTTGGCATGCAGCTAGATGTTATGACGTAGGCATCCGCTAAGAAAGGATTTTGATCAATTCTACCTCAAATGGGATAAAATACGGAATGAAAGTTTGTATGAAACTTAGTCAATTTTAAAACGATCGGGCTGAGACTTTGCCTGCAGGTATAAGAAGAATTGCCCCCCCTTGTAGTTCTGTCCTGCAAAGAGGGGGGCGGCGGAGAGAGCTACACAGGCACGCCCAAGTAGCCCTCCGCAGCGGACGGGGGGCGGTACGGTGGGCATTAGGCCGCGTACTCAACCCCCACGCGCAGGCCTACCTGCGCACGTCTGCGGGGTCCCCGTGATACCCCGGGAGACCCCTGCCGTGGAGCCCCGGCTAGGCCGGGAGGCTGCTAGGTGCGGAGACGCGGAAGAATCCCTAAACGGGGATCCCGCGGCTTCGCGCTAAGCAGCTTAGAGGGTATTCGCAGGACTTTTTTAGCGGATATTATGCCGTAAAGCGCCCGTAAGAGTTGCGGGGTCCTCGGTGGACAGCCACTGGGGCGCCCGTAAGACTTGCGGAAGCCAGGTGTGAGGTCCGTTCGGCGGTGTGCCTCTTAAAGGCGCCGTCGTCTGTAAATAGCATTTTTTACCGGCTTTATAAAAAAAAAAGGTATAAGAAGAATCATAGATGATTGTCATTGTGTATAATACAAGCCTGAGAACAAAAACTGTAGTCTACACTTCAGCTCTACACCGAAGCGAAGCGAAAGCGGGCCTCTAGATAGTTGTAAGATCGCAACGAATGAACCAATTTCGATGATTTAAAACGTATATATATTGAAAAGCTTCTAAGATCATTGTACTGTTAATTTTCAGTTGATTTGCTGACCTCGTTATGATCCTTATTTGGTGCCGCTTGTCACCCCCAGCTTCGTCCCCTCCGGCACAGAATATATACACTACGCGAAAAGAAGCGACACTTAAGCATGTGTGCTCGTAAAATCGCCCGCGGCTATGTGTGGGTGTCTGGAGGTGTGCGGGGGCGTTGCGCGGCGCGCGGGGCGTGGAGAGGGCAGTCGCCGACTGCCTCGACCGAAGGGATGGCAGTAGCGAAATAGTAAAATAATAGCGTTGCACTGCATTGCACGCACAGACTGACTACGCTACGCAATCTTATTATTATTTAGATAATAATAAGAATTATAAAACGAATCGAAAAAGGAGAAAATATATAAAAGTTAGCAATTTGTTATAGTACCTACATTAAAAGATTAAAAATTGATTATAAAATCAAACCTATCCTTCATTATTTACCCCAGTATCCTTGAATCAGTTTACATTTAATAACTTACTATGCATAAATATTCATTGGCACAAGTCTAAATTCCAAGTTCAACCCTAGCGCATACACGCTCCTGCTCAAGGTCACTGACGCTGGAACTCTCACGTACACAGAGTGTCACCGCTGTGCCTCCGGTGAGATTTGGGATTTTCTTCTGACAAAGCTAATGAGCGAAATAATGAAACGTAATTTCTAAATATATTAACCTTTTTCTGACATGTTCTTTTTCTTTTAACGTTCTTTTAAGATGTAGAACTAAGTTCGCACGTACATTCTTTTATTATTTGGGTCCTCGGTTATACAACAAGTAAAGTCGATTTTCTCCAACATAACACATATTTTAAATGTAATAAAATAATTACCGGATACTTGGCGTCACTTGATTATAGTAGTACTGAGGATTTGTTGAAGGATTAGAAGGCAAAAATTGAGTAAGCATATATAATATATATTTATTCAATATTTTATACATAATATAAATTTACTTGTAGTTCTATGACCTAATATTATATAAATTAATTATGATTTTATTTATTTTTTTAAGCATTTAACTGCTAGATGTTTAAATCTAAAGAAAAGTTTACTAGAAAAAAAATCCACGCGGACCAGGCAGCGGACGGGACTCGAACCCGCATCTTTCGCTATCCGGGCGAATGCACTGACCATTATGCTACCACGGCCCTATTAGCCGCGTCGAAACTTTCCTAGCCTTAAGCTGCAAGGCAGCGCCATCTCTTCGCATTGTAGGTAACCCACAATGTCAAATGAATACTTTTTCAAGTATTAAACATTTGAAAGAAAAAATAGCAATTATAGTTATGATTTTTTTTTTAAGCATTTAACTGCTAGATGTTTAAATCTAAAGAAAAGTTTACTAGAAAAAAATCCACTAAATATCAAATTAATTATTTTGGTATTGATGTGTATTTGTATCTTTATAATATTTATCTTCTTACTTTACGTATACTGTACAGTATTAGCATTTCGCTGTTTTATCACGACCTGTCGTACGAGTAAGTTGCAAAATGATATGAATCTACCCTATTTTGTTTACTCGACGATGATCCTACTCTGCCACAATACAGTTTTGTTACTAAAGCGGAGGGTAGCTGTTAGTTTTTGATGTTGTTACACATACCTCAATATAAACTTGATGTAACTATTGTAACACTGTTTAACAACTGTTTGTATTTTGTGATGGTGAATAAATGTTATTTTTTTAAGATCATCATTAAATCAGGATAGAATAGTTTTTTTTAACATTCTTTGTGGGAACATGCTCACTTACTATTTGCTTTAACTATCTGTACAAATTTTGCCTTTCTTATTTCAACTGAAAACTTACGAATAAGTAGATATTAGAGTTAAATATTTAAAATGTCACATCTCACCTGCTGTTGATGGTACATCAGTTGCAGCAGTTGCAGCAGTAGTACCACCAAGAGTACATCCACCAGGGGCTATCCGGACACATATCTGAAATAGAATACAGACACATCTTACTAAAAAGATAAAATTACTAAATAAATATTGTATGTATTTCTATTTTGAATACATGCTGTGTAGTTTTATTATTACGGTCGTAATGCAATAGTTAATTGATTAAGAAAAAAATTAAGTTATGCCATAAAAAAGAGCTATAACTAGCCACTATTAACAACTGATGATTAAAAGGGATTACAATAAAAGATTGTCTTGGTTTCACGCAAGTTGTTACGATGAATATATTTCTGCTAATAATGATAGCAAGTTTGGTTGCTAACTTTGCTCCGTTGGCTGACAACGGTCGGCACATGCTCATCCTATTCAGGTGGTACCAAATTGACCTTCAAGTATTGTGATCCCACTTGGATGAAAAGTGAACGAGGAGAGTACCCGTTTTGATAAGTTATTAAGTTGATTTCTAGTGATGATATGGTACGTATTCTAAATCAATTTAAGTTTTTAACACTTAGGAATTCAAACGGTCAATGTTACAATTACTTGTAGCGAACATATGATGTCAACTTTGGCCACAGATCAAACAGTACAAGGGCAGCTGATAAATTTATTTTATAATTTGATTAGGTACCTATTTACTTAACCACCTATGTTAACGGTATAATAAAGGTAAGAACATAAATAATATCAGATCATGTCAAAACTTGCGATATCTGATAACATTTTATTAATTACTTAAGTAGGTTTGTTAAATTGCAGGATGATTAATACCAAATAATAAGTAGGTATAGCCAGTTTTTAATAGCTCTGCTAATATATTAATCAAATGAGATTGATATTAAAAGGATTATTTTGAGAACAATCTCACATTTAATATATTCAGTGTTAGTAAAGAATTTGGACAATCCTAAGTCAAAAAATATTGTATTGTATGAAAATGGGGAAAAAGTATTGTTCTGTACTCTTGAATACGTATTTTATTGTTAATGTTGCCTCGTAACCGTCATCTTTGACCAGTTTTCTATTATACTTCTTAATTGAGGTAGCAATACGGGTGAAAGTCAAAGATATTTAAACAGTGATCAATGTTGAAAGAGTTTTTGGGGTAACTTTGGCGGACCACATAAACTCATTTTTAGGCAATAAGAACTCATTAATTTCACATTTTTTAAATATAAACGTCAAGACTTGGATTGCACTTGGATTAGAAATCTAAGAAACTAACCATTACTTCCATTTTTCACAGAGGTATTCACGGTATAAATATTTTTTCATTTTAGTTTTATTTTAGTTTACTTAAATGGCATACTTACTCTTAGTGTGGGATCAAACTCAAATCCGGCTGAGCAATACCTCATCGTAGATGTGCCACCCCACTCATTACATGTGAAGTATGCATTACAGATATGCGGGTAGGGCATGTTGCCAACGAAACCCGGAGGACATTTCGGCGGATCAGTAATGGGCGGATTTGTTGACACTTCGAAATCTTCAGTTGTAAATGAACCTGAAACCATTATTTGCTTGAATGCTTTAGTCAATTTGCAGTTAGGCGTTATGACGCAAGTTGTTATTTATGACGCAATATAACTTGGATGTAAAAGGATTGGGTTATCATTATTAGGGATAACATTCAATTCAAATGACTGCAGCATCTCACCTGGTGTTGTTGGTCTCTGAGTTGTAGAAGAAGGTCTGCTAAGAGTGCATCCACCAGGGGCAATTCGGACACAAGTCTGTAATAGAACACAGATATATCTTACCTCTCAATACATACAGTGTGTTTTTTTTTTATAAATATTGTCGTATTGTTGATTATAATACAGTGGAACCCGTTTAATACGATCGCGCTTAATACGATTTCTCGCATAATACGCTATTTTGCGTCAGTCCTTACAACTTGAGACATGTTTTCATTATGTTTTTAACGCTTAATACGATTCGTCATCTCGTTTAATTCGCCTAAATCGCCAACACGTACCACACATAATTATTACCTTTTACGGCATCGGCCAGCGATATAAGTGACGCCTGTTGAGCGACGCACGCTAAGTAGCCCGGATTTTCCTGGATATTCTTCCATTGATGACAATGTAGCACCGTATAAAATTCAATGAGAATGTGAATAACACACAAGAAGAGGTCCGAAGTGATAATGATCAAGAAAAAGATGAGTCAACTCCGATTTTGTCACACGCACAGGCATTATCAGCAGTTAATAATTTAAGACGCTATGAATCTTTGAATCAAAGCGAAGACGCACTGCAAAAGTTAAATTATGTTGAAAATCTTGTAATTGCTAATGCCTCAAAATCTTCTTGACAAACAAAAATAAGTGATTAATTTAAATAACGTAATAATATATAATAATACACTACGTACATTTTTTTAACATACATAATTCTTAAATATTATACATTTAATACCTCAATACCTACATTCGAAATTTCCCTATCCCTCAATCCCGCATTATACGCTTTCCCGCTTAAGACGCGTTTACGGCTCACATTTTTTATATATATTTCTAGATAAAATAATATTTTTTCTAGATAAAATAAACTTAAATATGTATCAGTATATGTATTCTATCCGTTACCCTAGCATCCCATAAAACCAGCCTTTTTACTTTGGGGCTAGACTAATTGGTGTGAGTGTGGGAAATATTTACTTATTGAAGTGAAACTTCTTTATCGGCGTTGGAAAAAAATTTACCGTCACATTTTTCGGTTACGCGTCACATTTTTCCGTTACGCGCCATCTTTTTTTATATTAATAGTTGATAGCTGAATGATCACACTGTCGCCGGCGAGAACTCTCTCTACTCGTTTGTAGCTGAGTGACAATAGTTATTAAAGATAAGACTCGCTCAGCCAAACTCGCATAGCGATACTCGCTCAGCGATACTCGCTCAGCGATACTCGCTCAGCGGTACTCGCTCAGCGGTACTCGCTCAGCGATACTCGCTCAGCGATACTCGCTCAGCGATACTAGCTCACCGATACTCGCTCAGCTATACTCGCTCGGTTAAGCTGGCTTGGCTGTCAAAAGCCGTGCGCGTGCATTTTAACTCAGGACTGCCAATTCGTTTCTAGTTTCTACTCGCTTATCGTTCATCGTCGGAGGTGGAACATGTGCCTTAGATTACTGAGCCGTGTAATCATAACAGTTTCATAGGCAGTAATTTGTATTCATGTCTATGATAATAAAATCCTTTTGTTTAAACTTTATCTAATTTAACTTTATTTAACCAATTTCTGGAAAGTTGCATGTAGATCATTTTTCGAAAAATAAGGCCATAAAGAAGTTTCACTTCTTACGTGTGTACACTAGTACACGCACACATTTTTTTTATATATTTATACTTACTCTTAAGGCTGGATCAAATTCAAATCCGGCTTGGCAGGTATTTAAATTAGGTCGTCCCCAGGCACTGCACCAGAAGAATTGATTACAGAAATCCGGGTGAGGCACATTGCCAACATATCCCGGAGGACATGTGGGTGGAGGAGTAGTGGGCGGCCTTGATGTCGTTGGTCTTGAACCTGATACCATGATAATTCATTTCATTTGTCTTTCTGTGGTAGTCAAAGAGATCTAACATCTAAAGGAAATTTTATTGGAAAAAATCCACGCGGACCAGGCAGCAGATAGGACTCGAACCCGCACCCTCTGCTATCAGGGCGGATGCACTGACTATTATGCTACCGCGGCCCTAATTGTCCAGCATTTTTTAGACTGCAAGGTAGCGCCATTTCTTCGCATTGTAGGTAGCCTACAATATCTAGTAAAATCTTCTTTAGATTGAAACATCTAGCAGTGAAATACTTAAAAAATAAATAAATAACATACATGCTAATACAGTACACATGAGAACCCGGGTACCATAAACATTAGTATAATTTCATGACTTAAAAATATGTACATTAATTTAAAATTATTGATTAGCATAAATGCTTTTGGCAATTTTGCAGTAAGGTGTAATGATGACGCAAGTCGTTATTATGAATCAGCATCAGAAATCAGAAGGTGATATAATCGTAGATAATGTTGCCAGGTGTCCGGATTTTCGTGTGACGTCCCGATTTTCAGGGGTCTGAAGACGCGTGCGCGATTTGTACCTGATCGGGACGCTAAATGTCCCGATAAGTCAAAAAAATAAATTTAGCTTAATTAATATAACACTATACTTGCACTAGTAGTTTAAAACGCAATAAATTAAACCCAGGCTTAAAACCCCCTTGTTTTTTGTTTACTGTCCCGATCTACAACATTAATTCCCGATTTTTTTTTTACTTCATGTACCGATTTAAAACAATTTGGACATGGCAATATTACTCGTAGATGACATTGCCTGGAACGTGGTCTCTTACTATAGGTCTTACGAGAAGGCTCAAGGTCGCACAGTGGGCAGCGGAGAGAGCGATGCTTGGTAATCTTGGTCCGCAGGAGAACAAGAGTAATCGACATCGCTCGAAGGATTGCTCAGCTGAAGTGACAGTGGGGAGGACACATAGCGAGGGGAACCGATGGCCGGAAAGGTTCTCGAATGGCGACCACGCCCCGAACGACACTCGGTGGGAAGATCAGGTGGACCGACGACCTGGAGATCTATGTTTGATTTGCTCGCCTGACATTGTATCGTTGAATGCGACATAAGTCACTTTCGACTAAGGATTGGGTTATCATTATTAGGGATAATATTCAATTCAAATGACTGCTGTATCTCACCTGGTGTTGATGGTACATCAGTTGCAGCAGTTGCAGCAGTAGTACCACCAAGAGTGCATCCACCAGGGGCTATCCGGACACATATCTGAGGTAGAATACAGACACATCTTACTAAAAAGATAAAATTACTAAATAAATATTGTATGTATTTCTATTTTGAATACATGCTGTGTAGTTTTATTATTACGGTCGTAATGCAATTGTTAATTGATTAAGAAAAAAAATAAGGTATGCCCAATAAAAGAGCTATACTAACCACTATTAACAACTGCTGATTAAAAGGGATTACAATAAAAGATTGTCTTGGTTTCACGCAAGTTGTTACGATGAATATATTTCTGCTAATAATGATAGCAAGTTTGGTTGCTAACTTTGCTCCGTTGGCTGACAACGGTCGGCACATGCTCATCCTATTCAGGTGGTACCAAATTGACCTTCGAGTATTGTGTTCCCACTTGGATGAAAAGTGAACGAGGAGAGTACCCGTTTTGATAAGTTATTAAGTTGATTTCTAGTGATGATATGGTACGTATTCTAAATCAATTTAAGTTTTTAACACTTAGGAATTCAAACGGTCAATGTTACAATTACTTGTAGCGAACATATGATGTCAACTTTGGCCACAGACCAAACAGTACAAGGGCAGCCGATTAATTTATTTTATAATTTCATTAGATACCTATTTACTTAACCACCTATGTTAACGGTTTATTAAAGGTAAGTACATAAATAATATTGGATCATGTCAATACTTGCGATATCTTATAATATTTTATGAATTACTTAAGTAGGTTTGTCAAATTACAGGTGATTAATACCAAATAATAAGTAGGTATAGGCAGTTCTTAATAGTTCTGTTAATATGTTAATCAAATGAGATTGATATTAAAAGGATGATTTTTAGAACAATCTCCCATTTAATACCTATATTAGCTGTGTATATGCAGTGTTAGTAAAGAATTTGAACAATCCTAAGTCAAAAAATATTGTATTGTATGAAAATGGGGAAAAAGTATTGTTCTGTACTCTTGAATACGTATTTTATTGTTAATGTTGCCTCGTAACCGTCATCTTTGACCAGTTTTCTATTATACTTCTTAATTGAGGTAGCAATACGGGTGAAAGTCAAAGATATTTAAACAGTGATCAATGCTGAAAGAAAGTTGGGGTAACTTTGGCGGACCACATAAACTCATTTTTAGGCAATAAGAACTCATAAATTTCACATTTTTTAAATATAAACGTCAAGAGTTGGATTGCACTTGGATTAGAAATCTAAGAAACTAACCATTACTTCCATTTTTCACAGAGGTATTCACGGTATAAATATTTTTTTATTTTAGTTTTATTTTAGTTTACTTAAATGGCATACTTACTCTTAGTGTGGGATCAAACTCAAATCCGGCTGAGCAATACCTCATCGTAGATGTGCCACCCCACTCATTACATGTGAAGTATGCATTACAGATATGCGGGTAGGGCATGTTGCCAACGAAACCCGGAGGACATATCGGCGGATCAGTAATGGGCGGATTTGTTGACACTTCGAAATCTTCAGTTGTAAATGAACCTGAAACCATTATTTGCTTGAATGCTTTAGTCAATTTGCAGTTAGGCGTTATGACGCAAGTTGTTATTTATGACGCAATATAACTTGGATGTAAAAGGATTGGGTTATCATTATTAGGGATAACATTCAATTCAAATGACTGCAGCATCTCACCTGGTGTTGTTGGTCTCTGAGTTGTAGAAGAAGGTCTGCTAAGAGTGCATCCACCAGGGGCAATTCGGACACAAGTCTGTAATAGAACACAGATATATCTTACCTCTCAATACATACAGTGTGTTTTTTTTTTATAAATATTGTCGTATTGTTGATTATAATACTGTAGAACCCGTTTAATACGATCACGTTTAATACGATTTCTCGCATAATACGCTATTTTGCGTCAGTCCTTACAACTTGAGACATGTTTTCATTAAGTTTTTAACGCTTAATACGATTCGTCATCTCGTTTAATTCGCCTAAACGTGTTGGCTATTTAATAGCCAACACGTACCACACATAATTATTACCTTTTACGGCATCGGCCAGCGATATACGTGACGACTGTCGAGCGACGCACGCTAAGCAGCCCGGATTTTCCTGGATATTCTTCCATTGATAACAATGTGGCACCGTATAAAATTCAATGAGAATGTGAATAACACACAAGAAGAGGTCCTAAGTGATAATGATCAAGAAAAAGATGAGTCAACTCCGATTTTGTCACACGCACAGGCATTATCAGCATTTAATAATTTAAGACGCTATGTCACATCTTTGAATCAAAGCGAAGACGCACTGCAAAAGTTAAATTATGTTGAATATCTTGTAATTGCTAATGCCTGAAAATCTTCTTGACAAACAAAAATAAGTGATTAATTTAAATAACGTAATAATAAATAATAATACACTACGTACATTTTTTTAACATACATAATTCTTAAATATTATACATTTAATACCTCAATACCTACATTCGAAATTTCCCTATCCCTCAATCCCGCATTATACGCTTTCCCGCTTAAGACGCGTTTACGGCTCACATTTTTTATATATATTTCTAGATAAAACAATATTTTTTCTAGATAAAATAAACTTAAATATGTATCAGTATATGTATTCTATCCGTTACCCTAGCATCCCATAAATCCAGCCTTTTTACTTTGGGGCTAGACTAATTGGTGTGAGTGTGGGAAATATTTACTTATTTTATATTTATACTTACTTTTGAGGCTGGATCAAATTCAAATCCGGCTTGGCAGGTATTTAAATAAGGTTGTCCCCAGGCACTGCACCAGAAGAATTGATTACAGAAATCCGGGTGAGGCACATTGCCAACATATCTCGGAGGACATGTAGGTGGAGGAGTAGAGGGCGGCCTTGATGTCGTTGGTCTTGAACCTGATACCATGATAATTCATTTCATTTGTCTTCCTGTGGTAGTCAAAGAGATCTAACATCTAAAGGAAATTTTATTAGAAAAAATCCACGCGGACCAGGCAGCAGATGGGACTCGAACCCGCACCCTCTGCTATCAGGGCGGCTGCACTGACCATTATGCTACCGCGGCCCTAATTGTCCAGCATTTTTTAGACTGCAAGGTAGCGCCATTTCTTCGCATTGTAGGTAGCCTACAATATCTAGTAAAATCTTCTTTAGATTGAAACATCTAGCAGTGAAATACTTAAAAAATAAATAAATAACATACATGCTAATACAGTACACATGAGAACCCGGGTACCATAAACATTAGTATAATTTCATGACTTAAAAATATGTACATTAATTTAAAATTATTGATTAGCATAAATGCTTTTGGCAATTTTGCAGTAAGGTGTAATGATGACGCAAGTCGTTATTATGAATCAGCATCAGAAATCAGAAGGTGATATAATCGTAGATAATGTTGCCAGGTGTCCGGATTTTCGTGTGACGTCCCGATTTTCAGGGGTCTGAAGACGCGTGCGCGATTTGTACCTGATCGGGACGCTAAATGTCCCGATAAGTCAAAAAAATAAATTTAGCTTAATTAATATAACACTATACTTGCACTAGTAGTTTAAAACGCAATAAATTAAACCCAGGCTTAAAACCCCCCTTCTTTTTTGTTTACTGTCCCGATCTACAACCCTAAATCCCGATTTTTTTTTACTTCATGTACCGATTTAAAACAATTTGGACATGGCAATATTACTCGTAGATGACATTGCCTGGAACGTGGTCTCTTACTATAGGTCTTACGAGAAGGCTCAAGGTCGCACAGTGGGCAGCGGAGAGAGCGATGCTTGGTAATCTTGGTCCGCAGGAGAACAAGAGTAATCGACATCGCTCGAAGGATTGCTCAGCTGAAGTGACAGTGGGGAGGACACATAGCGAGGGGAACCGATGGCCGGAAAGGTTCTCGAATGGCGACCACGCCCCGAACGACGCTCGGTGGGAAGATCAGGTGGACCGACGACCTGGAGATCTATGTTTGATTTGCTCGCCTGACATTGTATCGTTGAATGCGACATAAGTCACTTTCGACTAAGGATTGGGTTATCATTATTAGGGATAATATTCAATTCAAATGACTGCTGTATCTCACCTGGTGTTGATGGTACATCAGTTGCAGCAGTTGCAGCAGTAGTACCACCAAGAGTGCATCCACCAGGGGCTATCCGGACACATATCTGAGGTAGAATACAGACACATCTTACTAAAAAGATAAAATTACTAAATAAATATTGTATGTATTTCTATTTTGAATACATGCTGTGTAGTTTTATTATTACGGTCGTAATGCAATTGTTAATTGATTAAGAAAAAAAATAAGGTATGCCCAATAAAAGAGCTATACTAACCACTATTAACAACTGCTGATTAAAAGGGATTACAATAAAAGATTGTCTTGGTTTCACGCAAGTTGTTACGATGAATATATTTCTGCTAATAATGATAGCAAGTTTGGTTGCTAACTTTGCTCCGTTGGCTGACAACGGTCGGCACATGCTCATCCTATTCAGGTGGTACCAAATTGACCTTCGAGTATTGTGTTCCCACTTGGATGAAAAGTGAACGAGGAGAGTACCCGTTTTGATAAGTTATTAAGTTGATTTCTAGTGATGATATGGTACGTATTCTAAATCAATTTAAGTTTTTAACACTTAGGAATTCAAACGGTCAATGTTACAATTACTTGTAGCGAACATATGATGTCAACTTTGGCCACAGATCAAACAGTACAAGGGCAGCTGATAAATTTATTTTATAATTTGATTAGGTACCTATTTACTTAACCACCTATGTTAACGGTATAATAAAGGTAAGAACATAAATAATATCAGATCATGTCAAAACTTGCGATATCTGATAACATTTTATTAATTACTTAAGTAGGTTTGTTAAATTGCAGGATGATTAATACCAAATAATAAGTAGGTATAGCCAGTTTTTAAAAGCTCTGCTAATATATTAATCAAATGAGATTGATATTAAAAGGATTATTTTGAGAACAATCTCACATTTAATATATTCAGTGTTAGTAAAGAATTTGGACAATCCTAAGTCAAAAAATATTGTATTGTATGAAAATGGGGAAAAAGTATTGTTCTGTACTCTTGAATACGTATTTTATTGTTAATGTTGCCTCGTAACCGTCATCTTTGACCAGTTTTCTATTATACTTCTTAATTGAGGTAGCAATACGGGTGAAAGTCAAAGATATTTAAACAGTGATCAATGTTGAAAGAGTTTTTGGGGTAACTTTGGCGGACCACATAAACTCATTTTTAGGCAATAAGAACTCATTAATTTCACATTTTTTAAATATAAACGTCAAGAGTTGGATTGCACTTGGATTAGAAATCTAAGAAACTAACCATTACTTCCATTTTTCACGGAGGTATTCACGGTATAAATATTTTTTCATTTTAGTTTTATTTTAGTTTACTTAAATGGCATACTTACTCTTAGTGTGGGATCAAACTCAAATCCGGCTGAGCAATACCTCATCGTAGATGTGCCACCCCACTCATTACATGTGAAGTATGCATTACAGATATGCGGGTAGGGCATGTTGCCAACGAAACCCGGAGGACATTTCGGCGGATCAGTAATGGGCGGATTTGTTGACACTTCGAAATCTTCAGTTGTAAATGAACCTGAAACCATTATTTGCTTGAATGCTTTAGTCAATTTGCAGTTAGGCGTTATGACGCAAGTTGTTATTTATGACGCAATATAACTTGGATGTAAAAGGATTGGGTTATCATTATTAGGGATAACATTCAATTCAAATGACTGCAGCATCTCACCTGGTGTTGTTGGTCTCTGAGTTGTAGAAGAAGGTCTGCTAAGAGTGCATCCACCAGGGGAAATTCGGACACAAGTCTGTAATAGAACACAGATATATCTTACCTCTCAATACATACAGTGTGTTTTTTTTTTTATAAATATTGTCGTATTGTTGATTATAATACAGTGGAACCCGTTTAATACGATCGCGCTTAATACGATTTCTCGCATAATACGCTATTTTGCGTCAGTCCTTACAACTTGAGACATGTTTTCATTAAGTTTTTAACGCTTAATACGATTCGTCATCTCGTTTAATTCGCCTAAATCGCCAACACGTACCACACATAATTATTACCTTTTACGGCATCGGCCAGCGATATAAGTGACGCCTGTTGAGCGACGCACGCTAAGTAGCCCGGATTTTCCTGGATATTCTTCCATTGATGACAATGTAGCACCGTATAAAATTCAATGAGAATGTGAATAACACACAAGAAGAGGTCCGAAGTGATAATGATCAAGAAAAAGATGAGTCAACTCCGATTTTGTCACACGCACAGGCATTATCAGCAGTTAATAATTTAAGACGCTATGAATCTTTGAATCAAAGCGAAGACGCACTGCAAAAGTTAAATTATGTTGAAAATCTTGTAATTGCTAATGCCTCAAAATCTTCTTGACAAACAAAAATAAGTGATTAATTTAAATAACGTAATAATATATAATAATACACTACGTACATTTTTTTAACATACATAATTCTTAAATATTATACATTTAATACCTCAATACCTACATTCGAAATTTCCCTATCCCTCAATCCCGCATTATACGCTTTCCCGCTTAAGACGCGTTTACGGCTCACATTTTTTATATATATTTCTAGATAAAATAATATTTTTTCTAGATAAAATAAACTTAAATATGTATCAGTATATGTATTCTATCCGTTACCCTAGCATCCCATAAAACCAGCCTTTTTACTTTGGGGCTAGACTAATTGGTGTGAGTGTGGGAAATATTTCGACGGTTGAAAGGAAATATTGACTAAGCGACATTTTTGGTCATATTGAGTTAAATATACAGTTCGAACCGTCGGATTTTTCTGCGTCGATTGGTCGTGTTCACGTATTTCTACGACGACTTTTGATGTCGCTTATGCATAACGAATTTTAAGAATTTTCAGTTTTTTTTGTCTCTAAGAGACAAAAAATTTGTCATTTTTTTTTAAATTGTTGGTTGGCGTAGCTATTACAAGTAAGTTTTGCCCTTGGTAATTATTTGCATGTTGTGGTTGCGATAATTTCTTTACTTAGCTTATTTTGCTTACACCTGTAAATTTAGTTTTATGAATATGGTAAATTTCTTCCTGACAAAGAATATTTTTTGTAATCGCTTATCTCAAATTGACTGAATTCAAATTGTTTTTTGATGGCGTTTAGTTAAAATCTCCTATTTTTGTTTTATACAACACACCTTGTTCACCTTTGATTACCGATCTTATGTACACCATTTTCTGTCGGTTAGTAAATTATTACCTGCCGTTGTACAATATTGTTTTAATATTTAGGTAAGTTTTACTTGTAGTTATGGTATTATTGATTGATGGTTATACCCTACGGGTACCTCGCAACAGGTGTTTAAACTATTTTTACTTGAATGAATACACTGACAAAATATTGGTTATACCTACGGGAGCCTCGTGCGCGCTCGCTTACGCATACCGTGAAGTTAGTTACACAGGAACAAAGATACTACAGTGTGCGATGGGACGTCGCTTCGACAACACGCACGCGTTGTAATCACGCTCTTACTACCACTCGCGCTCGTCCCACCTACAATAAAGAAATACTGTATCTGTAAGTTTACCGCATGAACTTTTATTTAAATAGTTTTTTAATTGTTGTTCCTTTTAAAATACAGCATTATGTGTGTTTCAGATCAATGCAATGGAGCGAAGAAAACGTGTATATAATATTTTGGAACAAGCTCTCGAATGCTCGGGAATTAATGTTAATCAACAGTTATTGGTATGTACCTACGCACATTTTGTAGCTTTTGTACTCATGATTTGATAGGCTTTATTTTTTTAGTAACCCTGTCTATTATGTTGAGGGTCTTGGGTTCGATACTTATCCGGGCCAAACAGTCATGCATGGTCCATGGTTTTCAGATAGTTGTATCTAAATGTAGGTATTATTATATTTTTGAATATCAGATTTTATTATGAGATGCAATTTTGTGTGCATGATCATGTCTGTTTGTATTGGCCTGGGTATTTTCTCTATGTAATAAGTAAGTATTTTTATTTTTTATTATCTTCGTGGCAGAGTATTATTACGCCGGGTTTCAAGGCTTTGTCGATTTCTCCTACTCAGAAGTTCCGGGTTCGAATTCTGGTGAGAAAAATGTTACTATGATGAATACGAGGGTTTGAACCTAAGTTTTAGTTTCTAGATAAATATCCTACTTCCTAGTAATATTATAAATGCCAAAGTTTGTAATATGGATGTTTGTTATTTTTTCACGCAAATACTACTGATCGGATTTGGATGAAATTTAGTACACATGTAGTATATTACCTGGATTGAGACATAGGCTAGATTTTATCTCGGAAAAATGACAGCATCCCGTGGGCTATTCTCCATTCTCAAAAAACTAAAATTATTGCGGCCGCTAGTACTTCTCAGTACATGTATCAGTTCAGTACATGTAATCTATTTCTTACCCTTAAATCCGATAACACAAGCCTCGAGCTGTTACGTTTGAGGTTAGATGGCTCTGTGTAGCATGTCATGCAATATATTCTAGTGCTTTAATTATCTATTAATAATAATAACTTTTTCCCTGTTTCAGGCCTCTAAAACGTCTAGAAAAGCAAACTCGAAAAACCGTAAAAGAGTTGAATATCTAGTTAAATCTAGGGCATTGGAATCAAAGGAAAACAGTTATAATAAATCAAAATTAAAAGTATGTGTAAGTATTGACATCAATTAATTATACAAGAATCGTTTATCTAGACATCATCTTAATCAATTTCTATTCTACGGCTTCCAATTTCCAGACCTTATATTTCTCTACATCCCATACAAAATGACCAAACGACGTGATCGAGGTTTTATAAATTTATATATTTTGGAAAATCGTGTAAAAGAATACATGCGCGACAGGATAAAACTTTGAACAATGTAGGTACCTACCTAAATTTTAGATATAAAATAATAGAACATTTTTAATTTATTTCAGAATAAAATACTATCCAACTGCACTTCAATTGTACCGACAGCGTCACGACGCATTACCGAAGATGCAGAGAACTATAACCCTGAGGAAGTTTTTGATCACACAGAGTTTGATTCTTATGATGGTGCAGGTTTTTCGACGATTTATTTCGACCCACTGCAGAAAAAAGAAATTGCTCCACCAAACTTACCTTTAATAGCTGATGTCGCCATAGATCCTGACTCTTTGCACGAATCTGACCCACTAAACTTTTCGATGGATAAAACTACCCCAGATACTGACCCCTCGCAGAATGAGCAAACTACCCCACCATACTTACCGTCGATAGATGTCGCCGCTGCAGAACTTGGCCCCTCGCAGAATGAAGAAACTACCCCTACATACTTACTGTTGATAGATGATGTCGCCGCAAAACCTGCCCTCTCGCAGAATGAAGAAACTGCCCCACCACACTTGCCGACGATAGATAATGCCACCTCAGACCTTGAGCACTCGCAAAGTGAAGAAACTGCCCCACCAAACCCACCACCGATGGATGATGCCACCACAGATCTTGACCCCTTTCAGAATAACGAATCTGCCCCAACAAACTCACCTTCGACGGATGATGTCGTCCCTGAACCTGACCCCTCGCAAAATGAAGGAACTACCCCACCATACTTACCGTCGGTAGATGATGCCATCATAGATCTTGACCCCTCGCAGTATGACGAAACTATCCCCCCATACATACCTTCGATAGATGATGCCGCCGCAGATGATCCGCAACATGATAAAATCTCGCGTAGAAAGAACTTACCTCGGATTGATGGTGCCATTCCAGGTGGTAGTAGACGTAAACGAAAAGCCAAAACAAGTAGCCGATACGTGGACTACATGTCTGATGAAGATTTCTCCACAGTATTTGGTTCTACTGTAACTGATTCAGATGAATGGGCAGGATCAGAAGTGTCAGATAGTAGTGAAGAACAAAGCCAGACAAAAAAGAAGAAACCACAAAAAAATAAAAAAAATAAACGAAAACTGTTGAGCAAAAATGAAAGTGATGAGAAAGATAATATTACAAAAGAAAACATGAATGCTGACGATGAAAATGTAGGAGAAAGAGGTTTGAAAAGAAAGAAGAAAAACACGAGAAAGGAAAGGTCAGCCTTGAAACAATCTGGAAAGACGTACACGAGAACAGATGGTAAAATTGTGCAAGAAAAAACAATTCAACCCAATCCATGCAAGGGTAAAAAATGTGGAAACAACTGTGAAAATGTAACTGAAGAAAAAAGACAGCAAGTATTCAATCATTTTTGGACGCTTCCCTCTGAAAGGCGTAGAGATTGGTTGGTTGGCATGACTAATAGGGAACCCGTTAAACGTAAACGTGTTGATTCAGAGAAGCGTTCTAATACATTTAGGTATTGTATTACTGAAGGAGAAGGAAAAAGAGTTGTATGCTTACAGTTTTTGGCAGCAACGTTAGATATATCACAAAAGTGTATATATTACACTGTTAGAAATGCTAATTGTGGAACTTCTAGAGACGACTTGCGTGGAAAGTGTATACCGCCTAATAAAACTAAGCCTTCTACTAAAGAGACTGTTGTTAATTTTATAAAAAGTCTACCAGCAGTTCCTTCACATTACTGTCGTCAAGATTCCAACCGAGTTTACTTACCTCAGGAATACAAAAACGTTTCCAGCTTATACAGCAATTATAGAATACGCTATGTGAATGCTGGCACAGATGTAGTAAGCGAAAGAATTTTTCGGAAAATATTTACCGAAGAGTTTAATATCGCGTTTCATATCCCTAAAAAAGATAAGTGCTTGAAGTGCCTACAACTGCAACAAGCAGATATTAATGATCCAAAAAAAGCCAAAGAAAAGGAAGATCATGAAACTGAAAAAGAAGAAAGCTTTAATAGGTTTTCGACTCATAAATCTATACACAGACATGATCCTTCCACACTATGTGCAAGTTTCGACTTAGAAAAGGTCTTGAATACGCCTCATGGAGAATCAATGTTATTCTATTATTCGAGAAAAATAGCGGTCTATAATTTATGCTTTTACGAGAATGGAACTCGTAGAGTTTTCTGCTATTATTGGGATGAAACTAACGGAAAAAGAGGTGCAAATGAAATAGCAAGTATCCTCCACAGTTACATAAAATCTGTAGATGAAAGAGGAAACATCAAACACCTTCTTCTATACTGTGACTGTTGCCCTGGTCAGAATAGGAACCGCACTGTCTTAGCAATGATACATTCTACCATGCAAGAATGCAAAAATCTTCAGACAATACAAATCAACTACTTACTAACAGGGCACACATATATGCCCGTAGATAGTGTACACGCGGTTATAGAAAAAAATCTGAAGAACACTATGATTTATGCACCATCGCAATGGTACACGATATTTACTACAGCTCGAAAAGAGCCCTTTCCATATGACGTTGAACAATTGACTTTCAAAAACTTTTTTAAATGGGATATTATTGGCGACAAATACTTTAAAGGGAATTTGACTGGTAAAATTAGTAAAGTTCGTATCGTGACATTCAAGAAAAATAGGCCCTTGACAATTTCCATAAAAAATTCAATGAATATTTCTGCAAGCTCTTTTGACATTGAAGTTCAATCCAAAACTAAGGGTCCACTAATGTCTTGCTACCGATCACAGTTGTCGATATCAAAAGCTAAACACGACGATCTAATTAAACTCTGCAAAGATAAAGTAATACCCGCTCAATTTCATCAAGAGTACTCGATTATGCCAAAGGCAAATAATGTCCAAGATTCTTTACTTGAATCAGATGTTGAAGATACCGAGTTTGTGGATATTTAGATTTTTTTTTCATTTTCAACATCTGATTCGAGTAAAGAATCTTGAACATTATTTGCCTTTATTATTATTTTTCATCTAAGTTCGATTTTTTTAGAAGTATATTTTGTTTCAGCTTCACAGGCTAAATATTTTTACATACCTGTTAATAAGTATTAATTTTTGACTGTGATTTTATTAACATATAGACGTTAATTTGTTGTTACAATGGTGTTCGCACACATTATTATGATTGTGAAAAAAGTTAAACTTGCAATGTCCTAAAAAGCATTTTGAGTGGCTATGAAACATTTAATTTTCTTTTTAAGTTGTCCTAAAGAATAATGTGCAATTATGTTAATTATGAACAGGGACTCTAAAGCCCGTATTATAGAAAGATTCTCAGTGATTGATCTATTTTTGAGCAGTTTTTTTGGAAAGGGATGTCGCTATATATAACGCATAGCGACATCTCTTTCTAACTGTAATCAAGTAAAGATCAACACTTATTTGTCATTCTGTAATACGGGCCTAAGTCTTAAAGATGATTTTATTAAGAACTAATGGAAACTAAGAAATTTTCCTACTAAATATAGTAAAACTGATTATAACAGCATTTTTATTTATATTTCTGTTAATATTTTATGATCCTAATTTCGATGATAAGTGTTACTAAGTAAAATTTGCTGAGAAACAACAATAAATAAAAAACAGTTTAGTCAATTTTGCCTCCATTTCAAAACCCTTTTGATTTTGGTAAGGTAACTTTTGCTCTGATATCATTATTTATAACTTCTCTATATTACATTTTGACTTTACATTTCTAGACCAATGCTTGTCGTTTAGTACATTTTCCCCGTCTCCATTTTTAGGTAAAATTTTCTAAGCGACACTTAACTTTTGAACCAAGAAAGTTCTTGAATTGTTGCTTAAGCTTCGATGTAGACCATAAAATAAGATTTCTGAATCAGTCAAAATTGCGTCTGTGGGATGATAACAAGAATTTATACGATTTTTTTTCTGAAAATCCTAACTTTAAACTCCTCTCCTGTAAAGTTAGCTTAATGTCGCTTAGTCAATATTTCCTTTCAAGCGTCGATTTACTTATTGAAGTGAAACTTCTTTATCGGCGTTGGAAAAAAATTTACCGTCACATTTTTCGGTTACGCGTCACATTTTTCCGTTACGCGCCATCTTTTTTTATATTAATAGTTGATAGCTGAATGATCACACTGTCGCCGGCGAGAACTCTCTCTACTCGTTTGTAGCTGAGTGACAATAGTTATTAAAGATAAGACTCGCTCAGCCAAACTCGCATAGCGATACTCGCTCAGCGATACTCGCTCAGCGATACTCGCTCAGCGGTACTCGCTCAGCGGTACTCGCTCAGCGATACTCGCTCAGCGATACACGCTCAGCGATACTCGCTCAGCGATACTAGCTCACCGATACTCGCTCAGCTATACTCGCTCGGTTAAGCTGGCTTGGCTGTCAAAAGCCGTGCGCGTGCATTTTAACTCAGGACTGCCAATTCGTTTCTAGTTTCTACTCGCTTATCGTTCATCGTCGGAGGTGGAACATGTGCCTTAGATTACTGAGCCGTGTAATCATAACAGTTTCATAGGCAGTAATTTGTATTCATGTCTATGATAATAAAATCCTTTTGTTTAAACTTTATCTAATTTAACTTTATTTAACCAATTTCTGGAAAGTTGCATGTAGATCATTTTTCGAAAAATAAGGCCATAAAGAAGTTTCACTTCTTACGTGTGTACACTAGTACACGCACACATTTTTTTTTATATTTATACTTACTCTTAAGGCTGGATCAAATTCAAATCCGGCTTGGCAGGTATTTAAATTAGGTCGTCCCCAGGCACTGCACCAGAAGAATTGATTACAGAAATCCGGGTGAGGCACATTGCCAACATATCCCGGAGGACATGTGGGTGGAGGAGTAGTGGGCGGCCTTGATGTCGTTGGTCTTGAACCTGATACCATGATAATTCATTTCATTTGTCTTTCTGTGGTAGTCAAAGAGATCTAACATCTAAAGGAAATTTTATTGGAAAAAATCCACGCGGACCAGGCAGCAGATAGGACTCGAACCCGCACCCTCTGCTATCAGGGCGGATGCACTGACCATTATGCTACCGCGGCCCTAATTGTCCAGCATTTTTTAGACTGCAAGGTAGCGCCATTTCTTCGCATTGTAGGTAGCCTACAATATCTAGTAAAATCTTCTTTAGATTGAAACATCTAGCAGTGAAATACTTAAAAAATAAATAAATAACATACATGCTAATACAGTACACATGAGAACCCGGGTACCATAAACATTAGTATAATTTCATGACTTAAAAATATGTACATTAATTTAAAATTATTGATTAGCATAAATGCTTTTGGCAATTTTGCAGTAAGGTGTAATGATGACGCAAGTCGTTATTATGAATCAGCATCAGAAATCAGAAGGTGATATAATAATATAATAATAAATATATCTTTATTCAAATAAGGTCATACATTGCATAATAATACTAATAACAATATAAAATACAAAATAATGGATGCCTGAACTAGGTTACAGTTAAAATTGTACCTGTATTTCAGGCTTTTATGATCTAAATAATACATAGAATATTTAATAAATTAACAAATTAATTAAAACAGAACTTAAAGTAATCATTATATAAATGTTGGTAAATGTAAATAATGGAGTTACGTTCATTTATTTACAAATAAGAAGTAATTCTTCGGTCTGCTCGTATGTCAGGCTGTGCAAATAATTAAATATTACAGTTCTACAGTTAAAATAGTTTAATGTGTAAATACCTAATACTCTATTTAACTTATTATATAAGAAAGGACTTAGGAAAGTAGAGAATCTATGTGAAAAGATGTATTTTGAATCATGTGTAGAGATGCAGACTATATCTTTCCGTCTTTTGTTAGTGATATCAGAGCAAAAAGGTGAAATGGTGTGTTGTTTTAATATGGTGTGCATAATGAAAAGCTGGCGAACAGTTAACACATTACAGTATTTGTAAAGTTGATGCGTAGGATATAAGAAGGGAAGTGAATTGGCTACTTTTAAAATGGCTCTCTGAGCTCGCTCGAGGGGGATTAAAATAGTTTTGAGAGCTCCACCCCATGAAGTTATACAATATTGAATTACTGATTGGCATAAGGCCTGATATACCTGTTTTATTAGTTTTGGACCTGCAATGGTACGTAATTTTTTAAAAATATACATTAATTTACGGATCCTGACTACTAGATTTGCAATATGCTGTCTAAAAGATAATGTGTCGTTAATTAAGATACCAAGATATTTTATATGGGATGTGTTCTGTATTAAAGGGCAATCGCATTTATTGACTGAAGGATATTGGCATTGGTGTGCCTATAAGTTAGGATTTGTAAACCCATGACAAGGCTGGCGCATAGAAAAGTGAATATAATTGGTTTTGTCAGTATTCAGTGTTAGTAAATTGCAGCGAAGCCAGTTATTTACACCATTAAGACCAAGTTGAGCTACCTCATATAATTCTGACCTACTATTGGCGCTAAAAATCAAGGCCGTATCATCGGCGTAAGATATAATTTTACCATATTTTAAATTAAGGTTACATAAATCATTGATGTAAACGAGAAAAAGGGTAGGGCCGATTATACTTCCCTGGGGAATACCATAGCAGGTCATTTTCTGGTAATCACTTTTAATATTTCCTATTTTAAACGCATTGAGATCGATTGTCTAAATAATCTGCAAATAGTTTTAACTGCGTTCCTCTAATACCCAATGCTTCCAACTTTTTTAGAAGCTTCGGAATTGAAACGGTATCGAACGCTTTTGCTAAATCAAGAAAAACAGCTAGAGTATGCTTTCCTTTGCCTAGTTCCTGAGTAATATAGTTAGTCAGGTTATGCACCGCATCTGCTGTTGACAACTTTGCCCGAAAACCAAATTGCGTAGGTGACAAATAGTTATTTTTTTCCAGGTAGTCAATAAGCCTTTTGTTAATAATTTTTTCTAATAGTTTTGATAAGGATGGAAGCACTGATATTGGTCTATAGTTATTTACTTGATCTTTACATCCAGATTTATAGACAGGAGTAACTACTGCTTTTTTTAAACATTGTGGAAAAATACCCTGCGAGAGGCAGATTTGAAAAATGCGTGTTAACGGTGGTATTAAAATATGCTTAAAAGTTTTGAGGATTTTATTGCTAATGTTATCAAAGCTGACTGCACTGTCATCTTTCAAATCTGTAATTATTTGTAAAATTTCTTGTTGGTCGGTATCTAACATAACAAAACTATTCCTACTGGTGGTAGCGTTAAGTGACTGAGAAATAGATTTAGAGGTTGGTGGCGTTCTGCAAGGTCTTTTCCCATATTAATAAAATAGTTATTTACATAATTGGCTGATATAAGCGGTGAAGGATGGGTTAATAGTAAACTCGAACACGATTCGTGCCTTTTTGAAGTGTAGGTAAAATTTTTAATATGTCTCCAAAGGCGTTTGCTATCCTTGCCTGCTTTGAGTAGTTCATTTTTTTCATAATTTGCTTTTAATTTTTTCAAAAGATTATTAACGAAATTCCTGTATCTCCTATAGATAACTAGCAATGTGAGGTTATCGGGATATTTTTTTGTCCTCATATGAAGTTTATCCCTGTGTCTTATACATCGAATAATACCCGGGGTTATCCAAGGTTTGATATTTTGATATTGTTTATTTGAAGCAACCACAGACGTATTATGTAATATAGCTTGTTCAACATTATTAATTAAATACAACAAAGATGCATTCGCGTCCGTCGATTGAAAAACTGGGGCAAAGTCAAGCTTGCATAAATCGTGTTCGAGTTTCTTTATGTTTAACTTAGATTTTACTAGTTTATGATTCAGTTTAGGCAGCGATAAATTTAAGGTTAGTAAGACAGCGGAATGATCGGTAAGCGGCGTTTTTGTGACAAGTGTTAGATATGTTGACCTAGATTTTATCATCATATGGTCGAGACAAGAACCACTCTGATGTGTTGGTAATGTATGGGCTGGGTAAAAACCATGGTACGAACATAGATTGAGATAATCTTGGGTTCCAGCATCATGTATGTCGGGTATAATGTTTATGTTAATATCACCCGTAATTATTACATTTTTAAAAGATGTTAATGATTGAAGTATCTGGTCTAAGTTTCCGTTGAAATTATCTATGTTTGTGACAGATGGGGATCTATATATTGCGACAATAACTGTATCTTGGTTAATATGTACCAACAAACAACTACAACCCTGAAGAGCTGGTTCCTCGAGGGTGACTTGCAAGGAGTCTCTAACATAAATAACTATTCCATCATTTTGGTTGTGATTATTTTGACTATAAAATAAGTTATAACCTGGCCTTGTTGGTAGGTTGCCGTTCCGTTTTGTTAACCAGCACTCGGTTAGTATAATTACATCACAAACAAAGTTAAGCCTATGGAGGAAAATATTAAAATTATCAATATTTTTATAAATACTACGTATATTTTGGGTGAGTACAGTTAATGAGTTTTTATAAGCGGTCAGATATTGTCTACACTCTTCGACTTCACATAAACATGAATTAGACATAGATAGATCATCTATTTCATTTATTATATTAATGTCCATAGTAAAGTTCTAATTATAACAAATAAGTGGCGCTCTAGGCGCCTTCATAATCAATAGTATTAATGTACCTAGTTTCTGCAGCTTTTTTAGCTGGACATTCGGCATCTCCGGTCTTATGGCCGCACGGTTTTTTAAATTTAACGCAAGTGGCACATTTTGGTGGATCGGCTTTTTTTGTGCAGTCTTTGAGAGAATGGCCATCTTCGCCACAGTGGCCACAGGTAGAAGCTGTCGCCTTGCAAGTTTTAGCGGCATGGCCATATTGCTGGCAATTGTAGCATCTAGTTACAAGTGTGAAATCACGTACCGAGCAAAAATTCCAGTTAATAAAAAGTCTGTCCTGTATAATTAAGGCTTTGCGTATAGTAGCAGGTACTTCTAAAATATAGTTGCAGGTGTCTGCATCTCGTTTTCCTGATTTGTGGCTCAGTTTTATAGAGTTCAGGAAAGTATCTCTAGATATATTTAATGACGATTCTGCTACGTTTTGCTCGTAGATGCACTTATAGACGTCACTTTCAGTCATAGATGAAGGTACTCCTATGATTATAATACGCGGCTTGCGTTTATTGGTCTCATCAACAGTCAGGCCTGAGTTTGCTAACAGCACTGAATTTTTCAATTTATGGATGTCGTCTTTGGTCTCAGTGCTGACGATCACTCCTCCATTTCTTACTTTACGAAGACCACGTACTTTCAGTTTCATCTCCTCAGGGCTAATAATTTTTTGGACCAAATTTTTTGTTTCGTCACTACTTTGTGCAGCATTGCTTGGGTAGATTACCACAGAACTGACAGGGCTAGGGCGAATAAAGTTGTTGGATCCCTTTTTCACCATGTCTGCAAAAGACGTGTTTGTTGTAGCAGATTTAGTGCAGGATTCCTGTATAGTCTTTTTAAAATCAGTAAGACAAGCTGAGAGGTCATGGTTTTCCTTTAAAATTTGCAAATTAGAGTGAGTTGATAACGCCTTTTGCTTTAAAGACTGATATTGAACAGCCATTTGCGCAACTCCATGTCCAACTTTTCGACAGAGATTATTAATCCTAAGTTTGTGGTCAGATACTAGTTTTCCCTCATTCGATATGGTACATACTTCTTGTAAATATTGCTCAATTGAGGTAAGCCAGTTTTGTATTTCCGGAGTAGATACTATTTTTAAGGTATCCATATCATCCTGGTCTTGAGTTGGATGGCTGGGCGTCGTTGGGGGAGGAGTGCGGCGAGTAATGCCGCACTCCTATGCCGATATAATCGTAGATAGTGTTCCAGGTGTCCCGATTTTCGTGTGACGTCCCGATTTTCAGGGGTCTGAAGACGCGTGCGCGATTTGTACCTAATCGGGACGCTAAATGTCCCGATAAGTCAAAAAAATAAATTTAGCTTAATTAATATAACACTATACTTGCACTAGTAGTTTAAAACGCAATAAATTAAACCCAGGCTTAAAACCCCCTTGTTTTTTGTTTACTGTCCCGATCTACAACATTAATTCCCGATTTTTTTTTTACTTCATGTACCGATTTAAAACAATTTGGACATGGCAATATTACTCGTAGATGACATTGCCTGGAACGTGGTCTCTTACTATAGGTCTTACGAGAAGGCTCAAGGTCGCACAGTGGGCAGCGGAGAGAGCGATGCTTGGTAATCTTGGTCCGCAGGAGAACAAGAGTAATCGACATCGCTCGAAGGATTGCTCAGCTGAAGTGACAGTGGGGAGGACACATAGCGAGGGGAACCGATGGCCGGAAAGGTTCTCGAATGGCGACCACGCCCCGAACGACGCTCGGTGGGAAGATCAGGTGGACCGACGACCTGGAGATCTATGTTTGATTTGCTCGCCTGACATTGTATCGTTGAATGCGACATAAGTCACTTTCGACTAAGGATTGGGTTATCATTATTAGGGATAATATTCAATTCAAATGACTGCTGTATCTCACCTGGTGTTGATGGTACATCAGTTGCAGCAGTTGCAGCAGTAGTACCACCAAGAGTGCATCCACCAGGGGCTATCCGGACACATATCTGAGGTAGAATACAGACACATCTTACTAAAAAGATAAAATTACTAAATAAATATTGTATGTATTTCTATTTTGAATACATGCTGTGTACTTTTATTATTACGGTCGTAATGCAATTGTTAATTGATTAAGAAAAAAAGTAAGGTATGCCCAATAAAAGAGCTATACTAACCACTATTAACAACTGCTGATTAAAAGGGATTACAATAAAAGATTGTCTTGGTTTCACGCAAGTTGTTACGATGAATATATTTCTGCTAATAATGATAGCAAGTTTGGTTGCTAACTTTGCTCCGTTGGCTGACAACGGTCGGCACATGCTCATCCTATTCAGGTGGTACCAAATTGACCTTCGAGTATTGTGTTCCCACTTGGATGAAAAGTGAACGAGGAGAGTACCCGTTTTGATAAGTTATTAAGTTGATTTCTAGTGATGATATGGTACGTATTCTAAATCAATTTAAGTTTTTAACACTTAGGAATTCAAACGGTCAATGTTACAATTACTTGTAGCGAACATATGATGTCAACTTTGGCCACAGATCAAACAGTACAAGGGCAGCTGATAAATTTATTTTATAATTTGATTAGGTACCTATTTACTTAACCACCTATGTTAACGGTATAATAAAGGTAAGAACATAAATAATATCAGATCATGTCAAAACTTGCGATATCTGATAACATTTTATTAATTACTTAAGTAGGTTTGTTAAATTGCAGGATGATTAATACCAAATAATAAGTAGGTATAGCCAGTTTTTAATAGCTCTGCTAATATATTAATCAAATGAGATTGATATTAAAAGGATTATTTTGAGAACAATCTCACATTTAATATATTCAGTGTTAGTAAAGAATTTGGACAATCCTAAGTCAAAAAATATTGTATTGTATGAAAATGGGGAAAAAGTATTGTTCTGTACTCTTGAATACGTATTTTATTGTTAATGTTGCCTCGTAACCGTCATCTTTGACCAGTTTTCTATTATACTTCTTAATTGAGGTAGCAATACGGGTGAAAGTCAAAGATATTTAAACAGTGATCAATGTTGAAAGAGTTTTTGGGGTAACTTTGGCGGACCACATAAACTCATTTTTAGGCAATAAGAACTCATTAATTTCACATTTTTTAAATATAATCGTCAAGAGTTGGATTGCACTTGGATTAGAAATCTAAGAAACTAACCATTACTTCCATTTTTCACGGAGGTATTCACGGTATAAATATTTTTTCATTTTAGTTTTATTTTAGTTTACTTAAATGGCATACTTACTCTTAGTGTGGGATCAAACTCAAATCCGGCTGAGCAATACCTCATCGTAGATGTGCCACCCCACTCATTACATGTGAAGTATGCATTACAGATATGCGGGTAGGGCATGTTGCCAACGAAACCCGGAGGACATTTCGGCGGATCAGTAATGGGCGGATTTGTTGACACTTCGAAATCTTCAGTTGTAAATGAACCTGAAACCATTATTTGCTTGAATGCTTTAGTCAATTTGCAGTTAGGCGTTATGACGCAAGTTGTTATTTATGACGCAATATAACTTGGATGTAAAAGGATTGGGTTATCATTATTAGGGATAACATTCAATTCAAATGACTGCAGCATCTCACCTTTTTTTTTTTTTTTTTTTTAATACGCAGGTAAAAAATCTATTTACAGACGACGGCGCCTTTAAGAGGCACACCGCCGAACGGACCTCACACCTGGCTCCCGCAAGTCTTACGAACCCCACAGTGGCTGCCCACCGAGGACCCCGCAACTCTTACGGGCGCTTTACGGTATAATATCCGCTAAAAAAGTCCTGCGAATACCCTCTAAGCTGCTTAGTGCGAAACCGCGGGATCCCCGTTTAGGGATTCTTCCGCGTCTCCGCACCCAGCAGCCTCCCGGCCTAGCCGGGGCTCCACGGCAGGGGTCTCCCGAGGTATTGCGGGGACCCCGCAGACGTGCGCAGGATGGCCCGCGCGTGGGGGCAAAATACGCGGCCTAGTGCCCACCGTACCGCCCCCCGTCCGCTGCGGAGGACTACTTGGGCATGCCCGTGTAGCTCCCTCCGCCGCCCCCCTCTTTGCAGGACAGAACTACAAGATGGGGGCTGCCGTCAGGGGATCCCTCGGTGGCCGGCACGGCACAATGCGCCGTACCGGCCAGCTAGGGATCCCCGCGGGCAGGGTCATGGGACGGGCGTAGCCAGGGCACGCACTCGTCCTCTTCTGCCCGCTCTTCTTCGGCGGGAGGGAGCGGCCAGGGGATCATCCTCCCGCTCCCTCTCGGCTGCCTCCTTCTGCGAGATAACGTTCTCGCAGAAGGAGGCAGCCGCCTCCCATTCCGACTCGCTACGGAGCATGGCCTCTACCATGCTCCGCAGCGAGAGGGTTCCGCCTCCCAGCGCCGCAATCAGGTCGCGGCGCTGCTGCCGCCAGGCCGAGCACTCCAGCAAGGTGTGCTCGGCCGTATCGTCCGGGGCGCCGCAGTGATGACACTGCGGCGTTTCCTCCCGACGTGCGACACGGTACAGGTAGTGACCGAAGCATCCGTGCCCGGTCAGTACCTGCACCATGCGGAACGAGAGGCCGCCGCGCCGGCGACCCACCCACTCCTCCAACACCGGACGAATGGCCTCAATCGTCCGGTGGCCGGCGCTTACATGGGCGAGTGCCTCATCCCATCGCCGCAAGGCCTCTGCCTGCGCGATGGAACGGACCTGCCGCAGCTCTGCTGGGGCAGGTCTTTCACCTCGCTCCCTGGCTTCGACCCGACCTCGATGCACGTCTGCCAGAACCTGGGCATCGAGATCCCACGGCGTCATACCCGCGAGTACGCAGGCGGCGCCGTGGCTGACCGTGCGGTAAGCTCGCACGACCCGGGTCGCGATGGTCCTCTGCGGTCGTCGCAGCAGGGCCATCGTGCGGGGTTTGAGGCACTCTGCCCAAACCGGGGCTCCATAAAGTGCCATCGATCGTATCACCCCGTGATACAGTCGACGGCACGCATCTCCTGGTCCCCCCACGTTTGGGAGGACCCTGCCGAGTGCGGCTGCGGCGGCTGCAGCATCTCACCTGGTGTTGTTGGTCTCTGAGTTGTAGAAGAAGGTCTGCTAAGAGTGCATCCACCAGGGGCAATTCGGACACAAGTCTGTAATAGAACACAGATATATCTTACCTCTCAATACATACAGTGTGTTTTTTTTTTATAAATATTGTCGTATTGTTGATTATAATACAGTGGAAACCGTTTAATACGATCGCGCTTAATACGATTTCTCGCATAATACGCTATTTTGCGTCAGTCCTTACAACTTGAGACATGTTTTCATTAAGTTTTTAATTTCTTTCGGCACTTTAATCCACAACTTTCCTGGAGTCTTCAAGGATGTGTTTTTATATTCTCGTACAATACAGTAAACGCTTAATACGATTCGTCATCTCGTTTAATTCGCCTAAATCGCCAACACGTACCACACATAATTATTACCTTTTACGGCATCGGCCAGCGATATAAGTGACGCCTGTTGAGCGACGCACGCTAAGTAGCCCGGATTTTCCTGGATATTCTTCCATTGATGACAATGTAGCACCGTATAAAATTCAATGAGAATGTGAATAACACACAGGAAGAGGTCCGAAGTGATAATGATCAAGAAAAAGATGAGTCAACTCCGATTTTGTCACACGCACAGGCATTATCAGCAGTTAATAATTTAAGACGCTATGAATCTTTGAATCAAAGCGAAGACGCACTGCAAAAGTTAAATTATGTTGAAAATCTTGTAATTGCTAATGCCTCAAAATCTTCTTGACAAACAAAAATAAGTGATTAATTTAAATAACGTAATAATATATAATAATACACTACGTACATTTTTTTAACATACATAATTCTTAAATATTATACATTTAATACCTCAATACCTACATTCGAAATTTCCCTATCCCTCAATCCCGCATTATACGCTTTCCCGCTTAAGACGCGTTTACGGCTCACATTTTTTATATATATTTCTAGATAAAATAATATTTTTTCTAGATAAAATAAACTTAAATATGTATCAGTATATGTATTCTATACGTTACCCTAGCATCCCATAAAACCAGCCTTTTTACTTTGGGGCTAGACTAATTGGTGTGAGTGTGGGAAATATTTACTTATTGAAGTGAAACTTCTTTATCGGCGTTGGAAAAAAATTTACCGTCACATTTTTCGGTTACGCGTCACATTTTTCCGTTACGCGCCATCTTTTTTTATATTAATAGTTGATAGCTGAATGATCACACTGTCGCCGGCGAGAACTCTCTCTACTCGTTTGTAGCTGAGTGACAATAGTTATTAAAGATAAGACTCGCTCAGCCAAACTAGCATAGCGATACTCGCTCAGCAATACTCGCTCAGCGGTACTCGCTCAGCGGTACTCGCTCAGCGATACTCGCTCAGCGATACACGCTCAGCGATACTCGCTCAGCGATACTAGCTCACCGATACTCGCTCAGCTATACTCGCTCGGTTAAGCTGGCTTGGCTGTCAATAGCCGTGCGCGTGCATTTTAACTCAGGACTGCCAATTCGTTTCTAGTTTCTACTCGCTTATCGTTCATCGTCGGAGGTGGAACATGTGCCTTAGATTACTGAGCCGTGTAATCATAACAGTTTCATAGGCAGTAATTTGTATTTATGTCTATGATAATAAAATCCTTTTGTTTAAACTTTATCTAATTTAACTTTATTTCACCAATTTCTGGAAAGTTGCATGTAGATCATTTTTCGAAAAATAAGGCCATAAAGAAGTTTCACTTCTTACGTGTGTACACTAGTACACGCACACATTTTTTTTTATATTTATACTTACTCTTAAGGCTGGATCAAATTCAAATCCGGCTTGGCAGGTATTTAAATTAGGTCGTCCCCAGGCACTGCACAAGAAGAATTGATTACAGAAATCCGGGTGAGGCACATTGCCAACATATCCCGGAGGACATGTGGGTGGAGGAGTAGTGGGCGGCCTTGATGTCGTTGGTCTTGAACCTGATACCATGATAATTCATTTCATTTGTCTTTCTGTGGTAGTCAAAGAGATCTAACATCTAAAGGAAATTTTATTGGAAAAAATCCACGCGGACCAGGCAGCAGATAGGACTCGAACCCGCACCCTCTGCTATCAGGGCGGATGCACTGACCATTATGCTACCGCGGCCCTAATTGTCCAGCATTTTTTAGACTGCAAGGTAGCGCCATTTCTTCGCATTGTAGGTAGCCTACAATATCTAGTAAAATCTTCTTTAGATTGAAACATCTAGCAGTGAAATACTTAAAAAATAAATAAATAACATACATGCTAATACAGTACACATGAGAACCCGGGTACCATAAACATTAGTATAATTTCATGACTTAAAAATATGTACATTAATTTAAAATTATTGATGAGCATAAATGCTTTTGGCAATTTTGCAGTAAGGTGTAATGATGACGCAAGTCGTTATTATGAATCAGCATCAGAAATCAGAAGGTGATATAATCGTAGATAGTGTTCCAGGTGTCCCGATTTTCGTGTGACGTCCCGATTTTCAGGGGTCTGAAGACGCGTGCGCGATTTGTACCTGATCGGGACGCTAAATGTCCCGATAAGTCAAAAAAATAAATTTAGCTTAATTAATATAACACTATACTTGCACTAGTAGTTTAAAACGCAATAAATTAAACCCAGGCTTAAAACCCCCTTGTTTTTTGTTTACTGTCCCGATCTACAACATTAATTCCCGATTTTTTTTTTACTTCATGTACCGATTTAAAACAATTTGGACATGGCAATATTACTCGTAGATGACATTGCCTGGAACGTGGTCTCTTACTATAGGTCTTACGAGAAGGCTCAAGGTCGCACAGTGGGCAGCGGAGAGAGCGATGCTTGGTAATCTTGGTCCGCAGGAGAACAAGAGTAATCGACATCGCTCGAAGGATTGCTCAGCTGAAGTGACAGTGGGGAGGACACATAGCGAGGGGAACCGATGGCCGGAAAGGTTCTCGAATGGCGACCACGCCCCGAACGACGCTCGGTGGGAAGATCAGGTGGACCGACGACCTGGAGATCTATGTTTGATTTGCTCGCCTGACATTGTATCGTTGAATGCGACATAAGTCACTTTCGACTAAGGATTGGGTTATCATTATTAGGGATAATATTCAATTCAAATGACTGCTGTATCTCACCTGGTGTTGATGGTACATCAGTTGCAGCAGTTGCAGCAGTAGTACCACCAAGAGTGCATCCACCAGGGGCTATCCGGACACATATCTGAGGTAGAATACAGACACATCTTACTAAAAAGATAAAATTACTAAATAAATATTGTATGTATTTCTATTTTGAATACATGCTGTGTAGTTTTATTATTACGGTCGTAATGCAATTGTTAATTGATTAAGAAAAAAAATAAGGTATGCCCAATAAAAGAGCTATACTAACCACTATTAACAACTGCTGATTAAAAGGGATTACAATAAAAGATTGTCTTGGTTTCACGCAAGTTGTTACGATGAATATATTTCTGCTAATAATGATAGCAAGTTTGGTTGCTAACTTTGCTCCGTTGGCTGACAACGGTCGGCACATGCTCATCCTATTCAGGTGGTACCAAATTGACCTTCGAGTATTGTGTTCCCACTTGGATGAAAAGTGAACGAGGAGAGTACCCGTTTTGATAAGTTATTAAGTTGATTTCTAGTGATGATATGGTACGTATTCTAAATCAATTTAAGTTTTTAACACTTAGGAATTCAAACGGTCAATGTTACAATTACTTGTAGCGAACATATGATGTCAACTTTGGCCACAGATCAAACAGTACAAGGGCAGCTGATAAATTTATTTTATAATTTGATTAGGTACCTATTTACTTAACCACCTATGTTAACGGTATAATAAAGGTAAGAACATAAATAATATCAGATCATGTCAAAACTTGCGATATCTGATAACATTTTATTAATTACTTAAGTAGGTTTGTTAAATTGCAGGATGATTAATACCAAATAATAAGTAGGTATAGCCAGTTTTTAATAGCTCTGCTAATATATTAATCAAATGAGATTGATATTAAAAGGATTATTTTGAGAACAATCTCACATTTAATATATTCAGTGTTAGTAAAGAATTTGGACAATCCTAAGTCAAAAAATATTGTATTGTATGAAAATGGGGAAAAAGTATTGTTCTGTACTCTTGAATACGTATTTTATTGTTAATGTTGCCTCGTAACCGTCATCTTTGACCAGTTTTCTATTATACTTCTTAATTGAGGTAGCAATACGGGTGAAAGTCAAAGATATTTAAACAGTGATCAATGTTGAAAGAGTTTTTGGGGTAACTTTGGCGGACCACATAAACTCATTTTTAGGCAATAAGAACTCATTAATTTCACATTTTTTAAATATAATCGTCAAGAGTTGGATTGCACTTGGATTAGAAATCTAAGAAACTAACCATTACTTCCATTTTTCACGGAGGTATTCACGGTATAAATATTTTTTCATTTTAGTTTTATTTTAGTTTACTTAAATGGCATACTTACTCTTAGTGTGGGATCAAACTCAAATCCGGCTGAGCAATACCTCATCGTAGATGTGCCACCCCACTCATTACATGTGAAGTATGCATTACAGATATGCGGGTAGGGCATGTTGCCAACGAAACCCGGAGGACATTTCGGCGGATCAGTAATGGGCGGATTTGTTGACACTTCGAAATCTTCAGTTGTAAATGAACCTGAAACCATTATTTGCTTGAATGCTTTAGTCAATTTGCAGTTAGGCGTTATGACGCAAGTTGTTATTTATGACGCAATATAACTTGGATGTAAAAGGATTGGGTTATCATTATTAGGGATAACATTCAATTCAAATGACTGCAGCATCTCACCTGGTGTTGTTGGTCTCTGAGTTGTAGAAGAAGGTCTGCTAAGAGTGCATCCACCAGGGGCAATTCGGACACAAGTCTGTAATAGAACACAGATATATCTTACCTCTCAATACATACAGTGTGTTTTTTTTTATAAATATTGTCGTATTTTTAATTATAATACGGTAGAACCCGTATATTGAGGTACAAAATGTACAAAAAAATATGTACCTATGCTATAAAAAATGTGTATTATTATTTATTATTACGTTATTTAATCACTTATTTTAGTTTGTCAAGAAGATTTTGAGGCATTAGCAATTACAAGATTTTCAACATAATTTAAAGAAAATTTAAAGAAAGATTTTATTTAAATCTTTGATTTAAAGATATTACATAGCGTCTTAAATCATTAACTGCTGATAATGCCTGGGCGTGTACAAAATTGGAGTTGACTCATTTTCTTCTTAATCATTATCACTTAGGGCCTCTTCTTGTGTGTTATTCACATTTTCATTGAATTTTATCCTGCTTCAAGAGGTAATATGTGTGGTACGTGTTGGCGATTTGGGCGTATTAAACAGGATGACGAATCGTATTAAGCGTTAAGAAATGTATGAAAAAATGTCTCAAGTTGCAGGGACAAACGCAAAATGGCGTATTATGCGAGAAATCGTATTAAGCGTGATCGTATTAAACGGGTTCTACTGTAATTCTTAAATATTATACATTTAATACCTACATTCGAAATTTCCTTATCCCTCAATCCCGCATTATACGCTTTCCCGCTTAAGACGCGTTTACGGCTCACATTTTTTATATATATTTCTAGATAAAATAATATTTTTTCTAGATAAAATAAACTTAAATATGTATCAGTACATGTATTCTATCCGTTACCCTAGCATCCCATAAAACCAGCATTTTTACTTTGGGGCTAGACTAATTGGTGTGAGTGTGGGAAATATTTACTTATTTTATATTTATACTTACTCTTAAGGCTGGATCAAATTCAAATCCGGCTTGGCAGGTATTTAAATTAGGTCGTCCCCAGGCACTGCACCAGAAGAATTGATTACAGAAATCCGGGTGAGGCACATTGCCAACATATCCCGGAGGACATGTGGGTGGAGGAGTAGTGGGCGGCCTTGATGTCGTTGGTCTTGAACCTGATACCATGATAATTCATTTCATTTGTCTTTCTGTGGTAGTCAAAGAGATCTAACATCTAAAGGAAATTTTATTAGAAAAAATCCACGCGGACCAGGCAGCAGATGGGACTCGAACCCGCACCCTCTGCTATCAGGGCGGCTGCACTGACCATTATGCTACCGCGGCCCTAATTGTCCAGCATTTTTAGGCTGCAAGGTAGCGCCATTTCTTCGCATTTTAGGTAGCCTACAATGTCTAGTAAAATCTTCTTTAGATTGAAACATCTAGCAGGGAAATATTTAAAAAATAAGTTAATAACATACATGCTAATACAGTACACATGAGAACCCGGGTACCATAAACATAAGTATAATTTCATGACTTAAAAATATGTACATTAATTTAAAATTATTGATTAGCATAAATGCTTTTGGCAATTTTGCAGTAAGGTGTAATGATGACGCAAGTCGTTATTATGAATCAGCATCAGAAATCAGAAGGTGACATAATCGTAGATCCCGATTTTTTTGTTACTTCATGTACCGATTTAAAACAATTTGGACCAGGCAATATTACTCTTAGATGACATTGCCTGGAACGTGGTCTCTTACTATAGGTCTTACGAGAAGGCTCAAGGTCGCACAGCGGGCAGCGGAGAGAGCGATGCTTGGTAATCTTGGTATCTCCCTGGGTGATAGAATCAGAAATGAGGAAATCCGTACGAGAACTACAGTAATCGACATCGCTCGAAGGATTGCTCAGATGAAGTTCTCGAATGGCGACCACGCACTAGACGATGCTTGGTGGGAAGACCCCCCACCAGGTAGACCGACGATCTGATGAAGATCGCGGGAAGCCAATGGATGCGCGTGGCACGGGACCAATCAATGTGGTAATCCTTGGCTACGGCTAAGATGATGATGAGATGGCATTGGAGATGACATACTTACTTGAGGATGACACAATTGTAGATGGCATAATTGTAGGTGCTGTATTCCAAAAGCGTTTGTAATCGTCAGAGGGTATATCCGCTGCCATTGCTGCCACCAACAGCAAGTGACATAGTATCAATGGTTTTTTCATGACTGAAAGAAGTTATAGATGGATAAATGACACTTTTTTATAACTACACTAGTTGCCCGCCCTCGCTTCGCTGCGGTGTAGAGCTGTAGTGTAGACTAAAATGACTCTTCATATAATTATAAAAAAAAACTGAAAATGGTATATAAAATGCTTTTTCTATAGTTCTATTGACATCACGTCGCTCAATTGTTTTGCCTTCCCGGAACCTCTCCACTAACATTTGAAATTTATGGTACGGCATTAAAGTTCAAATTGACTTTTAAGTATTATTACAAATCGTTGGTATGGGAGTATAGAAAAGTGTTGTTTTAGGACATTTTCAGGCATTTTTTTTAATTTTCTCTGCGTAGAATCATCCTCGTACTTCAAGGAATATTCTAAAATGAGAATTATCGAAATCGGTTCAGCTGTTCTCGAGATTTGCCCAACACATTCAGATAATAAAGATTAATTCAAGAAGGCACAAAAACAAAGTGAAAACGCTTGAAAGGGCACGTTCTTAAGAACACTGCCTTGATGTTAAAAAAGATATATGATTGAATTATAGGAAAAATTGTAGTGTTGTTTTTAATACTAGCGGCCGCGCGCGACATCGTACGCGTTGAGTTAGTTAGAAATAAAGGTTCACTGCTAGTTCCCCGTAAGTGATAGTGTGATAATATGTAGCCTATACAAAATACCACATCGGCCACTTGTATTGATAATATATATACAGATATCATACCACAGAAAAAACAAATTATTAATAAACTAGATAGTGATCATTGTGGCCAGTTGATTACATTTCCATATCAGCTCAAGCAGGTGACAAAAAACACATCGCTGTTGTACCAAAATCTGCTAATCGTGTGGAACGTTTTAAAACTCAATTAGATAGAAAAATGTGTTATCTAAAATATAAAGACAGTCCAAATGATTTATATAATGATTTTTTTAATATATACTGCACTGAATTTAATAATGTTTTTGTACCCAAAAAAATATGTGTTAATGATGCGGTAACTTTTACTAAGTGGGCTACGCCTGGAATTCATAAAAGTAGATGGACACTTTATGAACTTTATAATGAAAGAAACTGTAACACTAGTGAAAATTTTAAAGAGCATGTTTGTAACTATTCTAAATTGTTTAAAAAAGTATGCCGCTTAGCAAAATCAAATTACTTAAGTTCAAAGATTAAGAACAGTAATGACAAAATCATAACGACATGGAATATTATAAACGATGAAACTGGAAAATCCAAAACTCGCAATAATAATTATAACTTAAATATTGATAATAAAAGGGTTACTTCAGATATTGAAGTTGCTACAGCTTTCGAAAATTTCTTTACTGATATTCCAGTTTCAACTACTAAATCGTTGAACTCTTCCCCCATTGCTGCCGAATCAATCTTAAGAGAAAACGTGAAACCTTGTACTAGTCATTTTCATTTTAAACGTGTTGACTTTAAAGATGTAATTAAATCGTTTCGCAAATTAAATAAGAAGAAAACCGCGGATCTGTGGGGCAATTCCGTTGATGTTTCTAAATCGGTAATTGAGACAATAGCTCCTATTCTAGCTTGCATATTTAATGATTGTGTTGACTGTGGTGTTTTTCCTGACCTCATGAAATACAGTAAAATAACTCCTTTGCATAAAACGGGAAGTACATCAGACCCCACAAACTTTGGACCAATTTCTGTGCTACCCACCTTTAGTAAAATTTTCGAAAAAATCATGTTAGATCAAATGCAATCACATTTTAATAAATATAATATACTTCACTGTAAACAATTTGGTTTTACACGGGGTCGTTCAACAACCGATGCCGGTGTTGAACTTATACAACAAATTTTTGACGCCTGCGAGAACTCGCAGGACGCTCTAGGTGTGTTTTGCGACTTGTCCAAGGCTTTTGATTGCGTTTTTCATGAAACATTAGTCAGGAAACTCACTATGGATTTAGACATACTGATCTGGATCTTATTGCGTCATACCTGATGGATAGGATTCAGAGGGTTGACATTAACGGCAACAAGGCTGCAGGTTCGCCGGTTAAAATGGGTGTTCCGCAGGGCTCAATCCTTGGTCCTATCTTATTTTTAATTTATATTAATGACTTGCGTTACTACGTTAGAGATAAGCATGAGATAGTATTGTTCGCGGATGATACATCACTATTATTTAAACTCATCAATTTATAATCTTAAAGTTAAGGATTCCTTAAGAGATAGGTTTAAAGAATTTGGTATAATGACGGTCGCATCACAATACATTTACGAAAATTTATTACTTGTAAGAAGAAATATTAATTTGTTTCTTAAAAACAGTGATGTTCACACACTTAATACAAGAAACAAAAATAAACTAACTTTACCTGCTACTAGGCTTCACAAAATCAATAATTCATTTAAAGGTCTTTGTGTTCGCTTATACAATAAAGTCCCAAGCAATATCCAAGAGTTAAGCCTAAATAAATTCAAAGATAGTATAAAAAAAACACTTATTCAAAAAGCTTATTACAAAGTGTCTGATTATATTACAGACAAAAATGCTTGGGTTTGAACTGTTCCAATCATTCCAACAGGTGTTCTATATTAAACAAATCATGATTGTATTGACGTTGTAACAGCATACTGATTTGTAAATGTTGTTACATTATGCTTTTAATGTTGTGGAGTTTTTTTCGCTCGTTTTTCTCCGCAGCTAAAAAATATGTCCAATAACGAGTGGTAGGGAAAAAAATGTTTGGACGATTCAAAAGTGTTGTACTATACATCCAATTTGAATAAAGATATATTGATTTCTGATTTCTGATTGATACGTTTTGGCTATTTATTTTGATTTAAAAGATGAATGAATTTAGTACAATAAAATGTTTTATTTAACTACAAAAAAACATCTAGGGGAGCCTTTACTAATGTTGACCCTCGCACAATGACTGGCCTTCTTAAATTTACACTAAAATAAAATAAAAATTTCAAATAAAATACTGAATATATCTTTTTATTATTCTTTGGTGGCGATTCTTGAATAAATAAATAATAAAATATCAATATATACCAGCTAGTCAGTTTTATTGAAGTCATTATGGGATAGATGATTTTAAACACGTTTTTTTCTAAATTAATGTGTCATTTTATCGACATAATTAGTAAAATATAACTACTGCGTAGTTGAACATCGAATTTTAGCAGAGATTTACTTCACCTAATAATCAAAAAAACATCAAAGTTTTGATGTGCCATTCTTTGCACATTCTAATCACATTACTACATTTGAATTTTTTTCTAATGATTTCGCAATATTTTCATACATATTAATATTGAACATTTTATAGTCGTTTTATTGTGATACGTAACCCATATTTGAATGCATCTAGGAACCACATTCAATAGAAAATCCGGCCGCTTCTATCTGTTGAACACTTTAAGGGCCAATCTTAATTGTAGTCTCCCCTATTAACCATTTTATTAAAAAAAGGACTGTAAACATACATACCTTGTCCTGAAATTTACTATCACAATATAAATACTAGTGGCCAAAACGATGGAGATGTTCACAAGTGCTGCTCCGAAATAAATGTGGCAATTTATATAAATATTTATGTGATATATATCTATAAACATACAAAATTGATAGGTATACTTATCACTGTATTTCCTGTGAATAAGCTCGTTAATCTTAGATTAGATGTCTATCAATCTATATATATAAAACTCAAAGGTGACTGACTGACATAGTGATCTATCAACGCACAGCCCAAGCCACTGGACGGATCGGGCTGAAATTTGGCATGCAGGTAGATGTTATGACGTAGGCATCCGCTAAGAAAGGATTTGGAGCAATTCTATCCCCAAGGGGATAATATAGGGAATGAAAGTTTGTGTGAAATTTTGTCAATTTTAAACCGATGGGGCTGAGACTTTGTATGCAGGTATAAGAAGAATCATAGATGAATGTCATTGTGTATAATACAAGCCAAGTATAATATATATCCTACAAATATTATAAATGTGATTTGTGTGTTTGTATGTCTTTTACTCAATCACGTAAAAACGGCTAAGCGAGTGTGGATGAAATTTGGCACACACATTGTTTATAACCTGGACTGAAACATCGGTAACATTTTTCCCGTAAAAAAAATTGGGTATTTGTGGGATTTTCACAAAACGCTGACAAAGTCGCGGGTGTTCGCTAGTATTATAAATGCGAAAGTATGTCTGTCTGTCAGTTACCTCGTCACGCTTAAACCGCTGAACCAATCGAGATGATATGAACCTTTAGGATGATGAAAAAGAGGTTGAAAGTTTGCATGGGTAAGCTTCTCTTCTATATAGGCTTCATTCAAAATCCCGGTGGGGGCAGATGTTTGTGTGATGAATACGAGCATTTGTACTCCAGTCATGGATGTTTAATATGTATTTCTATATAAATAAACTTATATATGTACAGTATATGTATTCTATCCGTTACCCTAGTATCCCATAACACAAGCCTTGTAGTGCTTACTTTAGGGCTAGGGTATTGGTGTGACTATTGGAAATATTATTATTATTGTTCTCATTTCTTATAAAGCATGATGATAAGGACAGACTATTGCCAAATTTACCAATCTGGATTTGGATTGGATTGCGGGCCTTCGTGCAACGAAGGAGTATACCATGGCATTACGATACCCGGGACATACGATTTGCTACGTTTTTAAGAAGGGAAAGGACAATGGGCAAAACACACCCAGCTCCGCCAACAATGTAATTAGTATGAATCGATAGATCTATGGAAAAACTAGCCTTTTTTATTATGACACCGTAATAAAATATCCTGGTAGTCAAAAGATTTGACACCGTAAAAAATATTCTGGTAGTCAAAAGATATGACACATGGACATATTGAAGTAGCTAAATAAATTCATTTTATAGTACATTTATTTTATATTATTAGTAAACATAATTATATGCCATATCGTACTACACAACCAGATATACGACAAAGCCTGCCGACCATCCTGCGCTTGCACTTACTGAGCCACCTCAAAACGGTTTACGGGGGTTGAAGGACTTGCAGTTGCAAATAGTCGACTCGTCTTACTTCGTTGTGATTGTGCGCTCTCTGTCACTTGATTGATTTTTATCTAACACGCTTTGGACATTGGAACACGATTATCGGTTTTGTCAATTAGTATGGATGAACTGGAATCATGTTTTCTCCGAAGCGTGGATAATTTTGGGTGATTTGTGGTCACTCCGTTTTACGAAGAAGACAATTTACTATAACGAACAGAATGTTTGTAAAAACCCCAACCCATGCGGGGGACCCATAAGGGGACACCCCTTATTTTATTCTGCCGCGCTAGAGTAAATCCACCTTGCACCTTATGATGTACTCCCATAATACCTGAGCCCCCTATGTAGGGTTGAACTAACTAAATTAATTCCCTTGTTTCATTAATGTTCGTTCGTTATAGTACTTGTACATATTTAACTTAAAATAACTAAAGACCCCCGGGATGGAATTGGATGCGCTTTGGCACAGATGATTATGACTGTAATACCTTTCAAACAAATGTAGTTTAAGCCGTGGCGGACGTGGGTGCAGCGTCCATACATTTTTGCCCATTGTCCTTTCACTTTAGATGTGTGTTCCGTGCACACTAATCTTTCACTCTAGGGGGGCGCTTTAAATCGTAAATGGCCCAGGAGCCAAATTTCAAAATACACTTTTTTTGTCGGGAAAAATGCGTTTACGCACCGGGGCAGGGCCCTTGAGCTGGCGAGCGGGAGTGTGAGATAGGGACAGTGGCGGCGCTAGACCACATGTGGACGTCGGCGACATCAAGTTCGCGAGGCCTATTTTACTTCGCAGTAAAAAACAGTTAATTTAGTGAGCCAAATTATAAACATAAAAAAAGACAAAAAAATAATAATTAACAAATTATAAACGTATGAGTAAACGAGTTTTATTATTGATAATCAAATGTTGACAAAAAATAATTACAAACATAGAAATTTAATTTCAAAAAAAGTGTTGCCAGACAGACGATTCTGTATACCTGTAAAGTACTACTCGCTTCCATCACGCAGGTGTTCGAAAATAATAAATGTCATTATCATCTGCTTAGCTTTTCCCCCGAATTGTTCGGGTTCGGCTACCTAAGCCAGGCCAGGAGAAACGAAAATAAATAAGTAACTTGTAAACATGCGAGGCCCCCTCAGGCGCGAGGCCGTCGGCGGTGGCCGACGTCGCCGACGCCTAGCGCCGCCACTGGATAGGGAATACTCCACTAAACTCCCCGGTAACTTCACCTCGTCATAATTGAGAGGGCTATGAGCATGCGCAGGGCGCCGCACAGTGATCAATAATGAGATATTAGGTGGATAATATTCAAAGGACATTGTTCTGCGTCCATACATAGTTAGCCTAAGAACCAACAATCATGTAATATTATTTTCTAGGTTCGAAATCGCACGTAATAACTGTAAAAACAAAGATTATTGACGGACACTTCTGAGAACTTAAATTATTAGGAAAACTAAAATTTTTTTGAGGTTATGTTTAATATTTAATGAAACATAGGTCAACCTATGAATTTATTATGAACTCAGTATGAAGTGAATTAATATTAAAACTAATTCATTTTATTCGGTGCGATTTTAAAGAATAACTATTAGGAAGGACTTGGTTAGGTAGGAATCATGAATAAAATAATAACAATATAATAGTTTTGCTTCTTATTATTTATTGACCTTTTTTTCACATACTTGTATCATATTGTATATATTTGTTTAACACATGTATATTGTGTTAATATGCAGCGTGAATGTGTATCAGGTGCTCTTGAATAATTTGTCAGTATAATCCTCTCAGGATGTTATGGCACAGGTTCACTAGCACTTGGTAAGAAGGTTTCTGCTCTTTCATAACATCGATGGCATATTAGATAGCCAAAATAGTAATAGTTAAATTAAAGGAAAAACAATCGCAAATAAACACACAACAGGTAATCCGAACGAGAATTCTCCGTTTATAAAAAGTACTCTTTGACGAGAATGCACGAATACCACAGATTACTACGAATGCAAACTGCCTGCACCACAACCACAGAGTATCAAGTTTATGCCGGCCCTTCACTTGACAACAGTTTGGCCTTGTCATGCTTAATAAGGAATGAAAAGGACAGAAAGATGTCATGTTTTTAAATAGCAAATACGAATAGCCAAGTGAAGTGCCGGCATTAGGAAGAAAGTGCTTTTTTGTTTGCAGCGCTGTCATAGATTATACACATAAAATGGTATTTATTGTCTCAGATTATTTATTAACTTTTTAATTTAGCTTACTTAACTGGTAGTGTCCGTCACAATCTAAATACTGATAAGTATCGCAAAAAATATACTAAGAATTATCATAAATGCCAAATTGGTGTTGGTTCTTAGGCCAATTTTAACATTGTCCTTTGACATTGTGAGGGTAGTTTAAACAAATCATCGCGATGAGATTGGGGGTACTAACCTCATATTCTTGTTTGATATGAACAGTTGAAGGTAAGTCATTACTGAGATTATCAGCTAGTAAATGCAGTGCTCTCGCTAATTGTACTGATATGTGCACCATACTTATTAATATGCAATAATGCACTGTATAAGTCACAGCAAACAAATAACTGTGCGCGAAAATAGGAAGTAAATAGCATTTACTAGCTGATAATCTCAGTAATGACTTACCTTCAACTGTTCATATTAAACAAGAATATGAGGTAAGTACCCCCCATAACATCGCGATGCTTAGGTTCAAAGATAATTTATTTCCCATAAAGACATACAGTCCACTTAAAATGAGAATATAAAAATAACATGCACTTGTGTATTACTTATTGTTCCTTTTGGTACATCGGATATTTCAGTTACAAATTTGATACTAATACTTAAGTTCAACACTCTTAAAAAGTAGTTGTCACTTATGTCTTTCTTGTTTTATGACTTAGTTGTTCAAAGCCCATTGTTAACAATAGTAAGTTATTTGATCTTATGAGCATTCACAATGTTATTCTTATGTAAATAACAAAACAATTATATATAATATTATTAAAAAATAAATAAAACTAAATCGTTGATGATTTGTTTAAACTACCCTCACAATGTCAAATTTGAATATTATCCACCTAATATCTCATTATTGATCACTGTGCGCCGGCTCGCGTAAGCCCACTCGGCGGTGCTGGCACAGTGATCTGCGCGGGCGCATTTCCGTGCAGGCATAAGACCTGAACAACGCGGACCGCTGACGCCCAACCAATAGCCCGCAGATCCCCACTAGGTCGACGTCTGCACGAATGTTCTGCGCCGCCGCCCTGTCCTCCGGTGCCTCCTCACCGAAACGAGAGGGTCACCCTGATTTTCTATCCGTAAATGGAATGCTCTGCCTGCTCACGTGTTCCCTCCTTCTTACAACCTGGGATCCTTTAAAAGAGGCGTGACGAAACAACATGCAGGCCGGCAAGATGAGGTGTGGCAGGTAGAACTGCTTTACCAGCTATCTTCACGTCTGGACTTCACCATCACTTAACATCAGGTGGGTTGGAGTCATTTGTCGGACCTATCTATATAAAAAAAAAGTTTC